TCTTTCCCCTATTTTGTTACAAACATTTTAAAACGCATTTGATTGTGTGATATATTGCTTTTACCATAGGTTGGGGTGTCAATTCGTCGTGCCCAGTATAGTTGGATTTGGTTCTGGGACTTCTTCAAGGAATCAAGTGATGCAATGTTATTGCTTACTTTCAACAGATGGAAGCTCTGGAGTTCCCCAGCGCTGCATTGTAGTTATTGTTTGGGATTCTTATAGATCTACTTGTTTTGATGAATCCTCCTCTTGGAGAAATGCTGATTGGAGCTGTTCAACCTTGCTTGGATTTTGTTGTTGCTGATTTCAAATGTCTGCAGCATTATAGAAGAAAGCAGAGTTTCATGGGGTGTTTGCCTGGCTTGATCGGGTGACTAATATGCCCCTGAGGATTAACCATTGTTGCTAAATATTTTTGTACATGCAGGTGCTTTAGGCCTTCTGCAAGCTTCTAAATATTATCATATCAATTTGGAGATAAGCAGCATAGAATGGTTAGACTGAACAAAATGGAGGATGCCCATTTGAATCTATCGTGCATGCTCACTGTAGATTCAAAAGTAGAATCAAGGGATACTGGAAAGGCCACTGAATTGTTGGAGAGAGGACACATGGAGTATGGGTAATGTTCTTATTCATTACTCTGCTGGTTTCCTTCCCTCCCCTGTCGCGAAGAAACATTATGATATTGGTTTCCTTTTCTTTTTCTGCAGATGTCCACACTACAGGCGAAGGTGCCGCATTAGAGCTCCTTGCTGCAATGAGATTTTTGATTGTCGCCATTGTCATAATGAAGCAAAGGTGAGTATTCATTATGTACAATTTCAGAGAATATTCCAGTAGGAATAATTCTGCCTTTCTGATGTTTTTATTGATAATTCTTTTTTGAGTTGTGCCAACTTGTATTGAATTTCATATTGGTGTACAGAACAATATTAATGTCGATCAGAAGCATAGGCATGACATACCACGGCATCAAGTCAAAGAGGTAATCCATGTATGAGTTGGTGTATATCTTCTCCTGTCGTTGTTTGAATTTAATAAATTAATTTATATTGTTCTTCTTCATAAGCTGACAAAATACATGCATGTTACTTCAGGTGATATGTTCACTTTGCGGCGCTGAGCAAGAGGTGAGTTTTGTTTTATTGACAGATTTATTTATTTGGATTTTGTATTAAGTCATTAAACTTGTGAGATAGGGTTGTGTTTGACATCAGTATTCTAGTAATTAATTCGTTAATAATTAGGATGTAGTGCATATATTGTTGATGCATTATGCATGAGCTGAACTTGAGATGTTTTCTCGATTCTATAATTAACACAAATATTTAATTCTAAGACATGCTTGCAAGTTTCTGTAGTATCTTATCTTGGTTGCTTTCATTACCAGGTTGGACAAGTTTGTGTTAACTGTGGTGTATGCATGGGGAAATATTTCTGTGGGACTTGCAAGCTATTCGATGATGATGTGAGTGCTCGACTTTCTTTAATTCTGTTCTGCGTTATATGTCAGGATTTTTATGTGAGTTTGCCATGGAAGTTCATGATACTTTCTTGCTAGTAACCAGCTTGTGTAGCAAGCTAATCCTATTTGCCTTCTTTGCAGACATCTAAGAGACAGTACCACTGCAATGGATGTGGAATTTGCAGGTAGGATTATCTTGTCCTTGTTAAGGCGCTGTGCAAAAATGTTTTGGTATTCTCCTTTTGGTATTATTTGTTTAGCACTGAACACGATAGGGGACATCCATCTTTCTATTCTGTAGAGAAACTCAATATTCTTCCAGGCATCAGTTTTTTTCTGGCTCAGTTGCACTTTCTGCTTGTCTGCCTTCACTTCTTTCTTTGTTGTGTTGTGTTTATGTCTTGTTGAGCTAATAATTCTTTAGTGTTTGATTCGATATTGCACTTTTTGTGGCAGAATCGGAGGGCGTGAGAATTTCTTCCACTGCTACAAGTGTGGTAAGCAATGTGTGCTTGTTTTTCTCCAAAGAAACTAAGCATCCTGTTTATTATATTGTACCATGACTGATGTTATTATCTTCTTGTTAGGCTGCTGCTACTCAATTATGTTGAAAAACAGCCACCCTTGTGTGGAGGGAGCAATGCATCATGACTGCCCTGTTTGCTTTGAGGTAAGACTTGCAGTTACAAATTCTTACAACAAATATTTAGTTTGTTGTTTTGGGGTTATTGATGCCTGCCTTACTGGAGTATAACGTACCTGGTGATCTGCAGTTCTTATTTGAATCAACAAATGATGTTACGGTGATGCTGTGTGGACACACTATTCACAAGGATTGCTTAAAAGAGATGAGGGAGCATTATCAGTAAGCGCCTGGCAGCTATGTGATTTTGATTTCTTTTATTTGGCTAGTTGAGTAGAATTATCTAATTTGCCGGTTGATCGTACTTTATGACAGATATGCATGCCCTCTTTGCTCCAAATCAGTTTGTGATATGTCCAAGGTATGGGAGAAATATGACATGGAGATTGCAGCTACACCAATGCCTGAACCATATAAAAACAAATTGGTACTCTCTCTGTCCTCTCTACACACTTTCCAAGTGTACAATGTGTGGTTAGAAGTCATTCTTCTTATTTCGTGATTCGCTTCAACAGGTCTGGATCCTCTGCAACGACTGCGGGAAAAGCTCACAAGTGCAGTACCATGTTGTGGCCCAGAAATGCCTGAACTGTAAATCCTACAACACTCGCCAAACGAGAGGCTGAGCTAGTTGGCTATGGTTGCATCAGAATTGATTTTGGCTTTGGCTATTATTGTGCAGCTACGTGTGTCACAAGACTCGCAACAAAGGGCTCCGTACACTCTTTTGACCACCTGGCTGTATCAGTGACACAGGGAATTGTGGTCCTGCGATTGTCTTCTGTTGGGAACCTGTGGCTGAATGCACCGTTGCGATTCGCTTTTTGTTTCTGTGTTTCTTTTCCTCGTCTATTTATTTATTTACTTTTGTATGTATGGTTTCCCCTTGTAATTAAGCCAAGAGTAGCCATGATGATTTCTCGATTCATCATCTGGATGGATGATCTCTTGTTTTCCTCTGTAATCCTCTCTCTTTTGATTCTCGATTGCGTTTGGTTATTTGAACAGTATCCGCCACTCCGGCAAAGGCATTCAAATGATATCCACTCCTGCGAAGGAACCGGACCTCAGCTTCGGTTCACCTGTTTCTGCGTGGATGGAGGAGTGGGTATTTAAGAACGTTGACATGTTTTGAGTCAAAGTGGAGGGAGTTGATTTGGAAGAGGCACGAGTTGATGTGGGAAAAGACAATCGTACCCTTTTTTAGGCGCAGTTTTTTGCGTTCAACTCCTACGTCTGGGTCATTGACCATGGTTTTCCTATAAACTCATGTGATTCGTGTAGTGGTTATACGATTTGGAAATTGATGAGGGCGTTGGCCTGCAGGTTTTCCCCACTATGAAGAAGATGATTGTTGTTTGAATTAGGGAAAATGAAGAGACAAGAAAAGAGGTGCCTGACAGTACAGCATTTTCAGTGAGATTCTGATTAACATTTTCTACTGTAAGATTAGGACACAGCATTTCTGCTGGTGCTCGTCTCACTGCTATTGCTATCTAGCTCAGTTGCTAACTTGGACAAAATAATTCGGAGTCCTAATTAACAAGTATCATCCAAATGAAGAGCTTGAAACGAATTATGGAAAATAAAATCTTATCCATAAAGCTACCAGTTGCTACAAAATGAAATTTGGAGGGAACCAAGTGCCAAATATTCCAAAATGGCCGCAGCCCTTCCTGCCATTCTCTCAAGCCTGTCTCTCTCCACACAAAAACCAACCAAAAATAAAGTCTATAATCAAGTTCCAAGAACAAACTGCATCATCTCCTTGTTGAAATCCTGTTCAAACCTCAGAGAATTTGCACCGATCCATGCCCGTCTGGTCACCACAAACCTCATCCACGACCCCTTCACCGCCAGCCAGGTTCTGTGGTTCTTCATCACCATCAAAGACTTTGATTATGCTCGTCTGGTTTTCAGTCAAACCCATCAGCCAGAGACCATTATTTGGAACACCCTTATGGAAAACAGACTAAAAAATGGTTCTTTTGGAGATGTGCTTTCAACTTACTATAACATGGTCACTCAAGGTGTGCCTCTGGATGCATCTACTTTCCACTTCTTGATTCATGCTTGTTCTAGACTTTTGGCCGTTCAACAGGGGACTGAGATCCAAGGCCGGATTTTGAAAATGGGGTTGGGGGATAATATGTCTTTGATTAACAATTTGATGGGTTTGTATTCGAAATGTGGGAAATTGGATGAAGTGCGCAAATTGTTTGAGATATTACCTCAGAGAGATGTGATTAGTTGGAACACCATGATATCATGCAATGTCCATAAGGGAATGCTTTACGAGGCTTTGAATCTATTTCAGGAAATGCAGGCTGATGAAGAAGTTGAACCAGATGAAATTACCATGCTGAGCTTAGTTTCAGCTTGTACGAAGCTCAGGGATTTGGAAATGGGGGAGAAGTTGCACCAGTATATTGAGGAAAATGAATTGGAGATTGGTGGGAATCTGTTGAATTGTGTGGTGGATATGTATGTCAAGTGTGGGAAAATGGATAAGGCACTTGAGCATGTGGGTAGATGCAAACCTGACATTGATGTTGTTTTGGGGACTATTATGGTTGGTGGGTATGTAAAATCTAATGAGATACATGCTGCTAGGTGCCTGTTTAACCAGATGACAGAGAGGAACTTGATTTCATGGATGACGATGATTTCAGGTTATGTTCAAGGAGGTTACTATTATGAAAGTCTGGAGTTATTCAGGCAAATGAGAAAAACATATTTGAGCCTTGATGAGGTTCTTTTGGTCACGGTACTTTCAGCATGTGCTCATGTGGGAGATTGCAAGTTAGGCAAATCCATTCACAGTCTGATTTTCAAATATGGAATGAATGTTGAAGGATTTCTTGGGAATGCACTAATAGACTTGTATGCCAAATGTGAAAAACTGGCTGAGGCTTGCTTAGTTTTTGAGCAGTTGCCTTGCAAGAGTGTTGTGTCTTGGAATTCGATGTTGGATGGGTTCTGCAGAAGTGGAGATATTAAGAAGGCTAGACTCTTCTTCAATGAGATTCCTGAGAAGGATGTGATTTCTTGGAACACCATGATCAACTGCTATTCCATATCTCATCGATTCGGAGAAGTGTTTGAGTTATTTCGTGCAATGCAGTGTTCAAATGTTCGGCCGGACAAGATCACATTAGCCAGTGTTCTGTCTTCCTGTGCTAGTGTTGCAGCCCTGAATCATGGCATTTGGGTGCATGTTTACATAAAAAAGAATCATATTGAGTTGGATATTATGTTGGGAACTGCTTTGATTGACATGTATGGAAAGTGTGGAAGCATTGAAAAAGCCTATGAGATATTCTCAGATATGACTGAAAAAAATGTGTTTGTGTGGACTGCTATGATAGCAGCACATGCCATGGAAGGGCAAGCCCAGAAAGCTATTGATCTCTACTCAGAAATGGAAGCTCTAGCAACAAAGCCAGATCATGTCACTTTCGTAGCTCTTCTATCTGCTTGTAGCCATGGAGGCTTAGTCAACGAAGGGTACACATACTTCAACAAGTTGAGTAGTGTCTACAGTATTGTTCCTAAGATCCAGCACTATGGTTGTATGGTTGATCTCCTAGGTCGAGCCGGACGCTTAGACCAGGCAGTGAAATTTATTGAAAGCATGCCTATCAAACCAGATATCTCTATATGGAGTTCCTTGTTGAGAGCATGTGGAAGCCATCAGAATCTAGAATTGGCAGAAAAAGTATTTCAACAGCTCATAAAGATAGACCCCCTAAATGATGCTGCTTATGCTCTTATTTCAAATATATATGCAAAAGCTGGTAGGTGGGATGATGTGAGCTGGTCAAGAAAGAAATTGCATGAACTAGGAGTGAGGAAGCAACCAGGATGTAGTCTAATAGAACAAAATGGAGCTGTGCATGAATTCACAGCTTGGGATTTCTCGAACCCTCAATCTGCTGAAATTTATGCTATGTTGGATGAGATAAAGGCTAGATTGCAAAAACAGGACCTAGTAGAAACATCATCTCAGCATAGTGAAAGATTGGCTGTTGCTTTTGGTCTTTTAAACAACCCCCCAAGAACTCCCATCCGTGTAGTTAATAATCTGCAGATTTGTAGAGATTGCCATTCAGCCATGAAACTAATATCTCAGGCCTACAACAGAGAAATTGTTATCAGGGATAATTACAGATTCCATCGGTTTGTAGATGGAAATTGCTCTTGTAAAGATTATTGGTGAATTCAGATCATAATTTGCAACCTATGCTCAATAGTTTTTCATCTTCATCCAAACTCTAAAAATTTACAAAATTAATCAAAATGTTAAAGATGAAGGGAAAGACAAGAAGTTGTATATGTAATAGTACTTTATATTCAGTCAAAAACTGGTTCAAGATTACACAGCAACTCTGGTCACAACAGAGACTTGAAGTAGGGAGCCAAAAAAGTCGGCTTATCACCCTTCTACATGAATTACAAGGAAATAGCACTTTGATGGCATACATCATCAATGTCTGATTTTATGGAAAGCAAAACTAGTTGAGCTGAAACCAACATTCACCAAGACCATGAAAGCTGAAACACGGTTAACAAACGAGTGAATTTACAAAATGATCATCCATGGCTGCCAAGCGATGCACACAAACAGCTCTTTGTTAACAGATGATCAGCTGCGTCTGCGACGGGCTCATCAATCACGGGCACGGTGGCTGCAGAAGAGAAGTGTCTCTTACTTATCAGCAATGATGCCAGTTTCAAAGAGTTCCTCATCTGACTCAAGAGGTTTCTCAGAAGACTGGTCATTGCATTTTTCCAATTCCTCATCAATTAAAATCTCCTCAGAGCGGCAACTCAGACTGCAAAATGCTTTCTCACCCCTGAAAGAAATTAAATGTTAATAAGTATTTCCAATTCCTCTACAAAATGCTTTGCAGATCATAACATGGCTAGTAGATATGTCTGTTTCATAAACTGTACCTGTATATGTAGATGTCTTTCCCCTCTTCCAATTTCTTGTTACAATAGTAGCAAAAGCTCAAGAAATTGTTTGAGGGGTACTGAACAAAATTCCCCAAGCTCGTGCCCGGGCGGGCAAATCCAATTTCCTTTCCCTCATTCTTACCAAAATTGCTCAAGTCATTAGAGTGACATCCCAAAATGCAGTCACCAAAGATATGAGTTTTTTTGGGATTGGCACCATGAGAAATTACACAAGTATAATCCTCAGAAAGTTCAATCTCACTAGCTGAGAGAGACCCAACTAACCCATTGCTAGACCCAATAGATCCAGTATTCATTTGGGTGGCTAAATTTGGGCTCCCTCCAATAAATGGTTGGGTGGTTAAACTTTCCATACAAAAATTTCCAGAAGTGGAGTTAGGGTTAAGGTTGCTTAAACCTGATAGGGTTGAAAATGCCCTACCAGAATCCAATGAACAGGACCGGATTTTTCCGAATGACTCAGGCTCTGTTGGGGATTCTCCAATTTCAAAAAGAACATCAGAACTACCCTTCTCTAGAGGAGATTTGATTTTGGAATGAGGGAAAACTGCATAGTTCTTAGGTAGAGATTTAGGTGAAGCAAAAGAATTGGTATTGGACTGAGAATCTGGGGTTTTAATCCTCATTCCAGGTCCAAAAAGAATGTTCTTACTCTCTGATGAACGAGGGACTTTCCCAGAAAACTTCACATCATCATCAAAAGAATCTATGATGCTTAAGCCTACTTTGCTGCTACCCCAGCTCCTCTGCTGCCCATCACTGTTGGACCGTGGGGACCTAAAGGGGTTGCCCAAATTTGAAAACACCCTAAAATCTAGAGGAGAAGTTGGGCTCCTAACTGAATCAGAATCTATTAAACCCTTAGAACTCAACCCCACAAACAGACCAGGAACACTGAAAAAAGAGTTGCTTTTGGGATTGTGTCCCAAAACATCAGACCCAGCATCAGCAATTGGCAAATGACCCATTTGGTGTTGATCCTTCTGAATTGACCTGCTTCTCTTCCTCAGCATTATCTCAACTATCCCAATTTCGGGAACCAAAAGCCCCCCTTTTCTGTACCAAAAATCAACAAGGTTTAAATCAATACATTATTTTACCATATTCAGAAGTTAATAAAGATTCAACAGTTAATAGTCATCAAGAAAGGAGTATCATCGGCATAATCCATGAGCTGCATTGGGCAAAAGAAAATATATGAAATTTGATTAAACCTCTCAGATACACAGAGAACCTGATGCTTTCAAAGATTGAGATGAAATAAATTTTTGCCTAGTGGTTTTGGATCATCCAAAAAATATATTATAAGATTTTTTTTTTCCAATTTTGGGTCGATTAGAGCATTAAAGAAGTCTGAAATGACAGAGAAATGTCTAATCAAATGTAAGGTCGAAGAAAATAGCCTCCTTGGTAAAACTAAAATGTAGATGCAAAGAGGGGTTCAATCCCTGAATATCATTAAAGCATTAGCAAATAAAATAATAATAAATCAACAGAGAAAACCCAGATACATAAAATCCCAAGAAAGTACAGAGAAAGCCCTTAAAAGCCGATTAAACCGGCACAAGAAGACGATCAATGCCCAAGAACACTAAAAGCTTGAATCTTTTAGCTCAATCCCGCAAAACCCAGAAAGAAAAAAAAAAGAAGAGAAAAATATAATAAAAGGATGATCCTTGAAGAACCCAACATTGGATTGAAAAAGAATGAGTCACTCAGATAACAAAGACATAAAAGAAGAAAAACCCACCTGGGTTCTAGCTCTCTCCTTTCAGCTCTGGAAACTTCAGAGAGATATATGGTTTTCTGAGGGAAAGAAGCCCAAATGTAGTAAAAATAAGAAAGTTTTTTTGTTTGTCACAAGCGGTGTCTCTATGTGAAACTTGTTCTGCACTCCTTTCTCTCTCTATTTGGTGCCTCAAAATCAGCGAAGCAGTGAGCTTCTGAAATACTCCTCAGTCTCTCTCTCTATTGCCTCTATTTCTCTCTCTAGAATAAAACAATGTCTGTATGCAATAATGTATTTTGCCCACAGATATCATTTGTACGTATTTTACTAACTTTTGCAACTACGTACATCCTTTCCTCCTCTTCTATTGCCACCTCATCACCAAGTGGTTTTGGGTTTGGACCACATTCTTTATCAATTTTTGACAGAATCCCCAAATGTATGTCACAGTAACTTATTGAATTATTTGGAACTCAAAATGCCTCTCAAATCTCAATCTAACCAATAATCAACTTGCATTAAATTTTTGTTAAGCTTGCAGCCTTTGTGATTAAGAGCATTTATTATTTCGTTTAAAGTCATAATCTGTATCTCGTCTCTTAATATTGTTTTATTAAAGACGTATCTACATTAGATCCTTAATAATGCGCTAACTGCAAAAACGATTTCCTAAGAGCTTATCTTTTTTGGTAAAATATCAATTACTGACAAAGTTTAATTCTTTTAGTTTTCCTTTTTTTATGTTATAAAAAGATGATTGAAATTTATTAGATTAATAGGAATAATAATACAAATGACACATACAGACATTTCAATAAGAATGTGACAAACATAGGTAAAACTTCCTCAATTACATGAGCCATTTGAAAAGTTGAAACGATTTGTAGAGAATCACTCTCGAAAATAACTTTTCTATAACCCCTCTTAACTATCATAATTTCTCTGAATCTAGTCCAATAACATTAAAACAAAAATTAACCGATAATCGGTATGACTCTTTTAACTAGCTGACATTTCAGATATATTAATTTTGTCTTAATCGAATTTTTTTATGTACAAACGAGGAAAATTTATGAGAGGAAGATTCGAACTTGGATACAATGAGGCGGGCTCATTACCTTAACTAACTGGCTTAATCCACAACTGCAATCGAATTTTATGTGCATAATAATTTAAAATTATATTTTAAAAAATATGATAAAACAAAAGTTAAAATTTGTTATTTTTTTGAAGGGAGGAGGATTTACATCATTACATGTTTCAGAGAGTTACTGAGGCAGTGAAAGTAAGAGTGGGAGTGGGTGGGGGTGGGGGTGACTTGGCATAATTGGAGGGTAAAGTAATGGAGAGAGGAGGGTGAAATTGGTCAAAGGGCAAATAAAAAAACCAGGAAATGGTTTAGTACTTTCTTCTTTACCCTTTCTTGCTGAGTCGCACAAGACGACAAAAATGACTTGTGACTCGTGGTGCCTTTCTATTATGACTGACTGACAGACCACCACGGCTGTTAACGGGGGGCCGTTTGGCTGATTTGACGGGGTCGTTTTTTATATTTGATAAAATAAATTACAAAAATTTAAGAGCTATAAAATATGGGGACGGCCAATCTCTATTTACAAAAATTTACACCTTCTTTCCCTTTTCACAAACATTTTGTTTTCCGGAGATTGTTCGTACCCTTCATGCTTTGTGTTTATAATTGTACTATCGGGCACTCATGGTATGAAACTCTCAGTCATGATTTATATTATACAAATTTATAAATAAATTCAATCCTAGATATGTATTTATAAATAAATTCAAATACTATTTAAACATAAAAACACATCCAAAATCAACCCCAAAGTCAACAATTGTATATTTTTTGGGTGTGTTTATAAATGAGTTTTGAATGTGTGTAATGATAGATTTTGGATGTATTTATAAAGTGTTTTGGGCGTTGGGTTTTTTTATAATTTCAGCTCCCATTTTGGGTATTTTAGTGAAACTCCCTTTATATTATTCTTGTACAATATTGATTTGTGTTATAATTGGCATAGCAAGGTTTTAAATTTTTTGCCATGTCATGTATACTTGTGTACCGATATAAATTATGGAAAAACTTATATGCCCGGTTGAGGTAATAACTTTTATATTCACAACACTTGTTACGTGACTAGATTATTATGTAATGAATAATGTATATACAAGAGTCGCATCACTCGTGTATGTAAGATTTTTGTTGTTGTAAATTATAGATAAAAAAATGATATAAAGGATATGTCATATACAAAATGTTAAATTTGAATTTAATAGGCTATATAGAAATTTGATACTTTGAAGAAATTTGATAATTTGATACAAATTTCTCCTTTAATGCTTAGTGCTTTATGTTCACATTACAATTTGATATGTCAGTTAAAAGATACTCTAAATGTGAAATCTACTTTTAAGAGGGAGATGTTAAATCTTATATGGCACTTTTAGTAGGTAGGAAAAATAGTTAAGATTCACTTTAACCGAAATGTTAAATCCTACATAGAATAACAACAACAAAAACAATAAGAGAGAAAAATGTTATTCCACTTAGGATTTAACATTTCGATTGGAGTGAGTCCCATCTATTTTTTTTCACATGCTAAAAGTGCGCCGTTGGATTTAACATCTTCCTTAGACCTTTAGTATGCTCCCAAGTGATCTTAACTTGAAACCCACATAATACACATGTGTGTGAGTTTCCCACCACCCCTTCATAACGCTAGCAAAAAAACACAAATTCTACTTAAAAATGAAGCTGCATTTCAATCGTCTTTAAAGAAAACTAGTATAACAATTATTAATGATTTGGTTATTTATTGAAACGATATCACTTTTCATTTTATTTGTATTATTGATGCATGTATATGGAAGACAAACTGCAATAAACATCGTAGTTTGCATTTTCGTGTCTTGTTTCCATTGGCTTTGTAATTAGAATCTTCATAGCCCCTTAAATTAATGAGATGAATGATTTTGAGAATTGTTTTGTAATTTACTAATAATTAATGCTTCTTGTGCATTATTGCAATGTGTTGAAGACGACAAAGACGTTTATTTAATTTGACACGTGGTAGTATGTATCAATGTAATGTGACATGACATCTCTTCCACTCTTTCTATAGTACTTCATTGGAAGTTAACGCGGGTTTAGAACTTTGGATGCAACCAAATGAATGAAACCAAACAAATATAATGGAAAAAAAAAAGTAGGACCATTTCCATTCCAAAAGATTATGACATGCCTTTAAAACTAGGGGTGGCATATTGACCGGAAAACCAGGTTACGGTACCAAATTGATCGTTTGCGTCGATTTATATTAAGAAAAGTTAAATATTCTCACAACCCGATCCAGACCGTTCATACCAAATTATAACCTCACTTTTGAGTTTCTCTCTAAATCTCATGAAAGTGACATTTCCTTAACTTTATTGTTTTTGTGTAAGTTTTATTGGCGCTTTTATTTATTTATTTATAAAGATCATCATATATAAATCACATGATCTCTATCACAGCCCAATGGCCCAGCTTTTAATAACATAATACTAATTATAGCTAGTAAAGTAGCTTAAATTGTTAAAGGCTGTGACTAAATTATTTTCTACTAAAAGCATGTCATATATTAATGCAAAAGAGTTGATTTGGACATTGTACATTGCTTAATTATGTACAACTAGGTCTTTGTTTTTCTTACCATGTTTATTTCATGTGCTAAATTTACCTTTTTTTTTATCTTTTGCTCGATGGGGGAACACGTGGGGTAGTTAGGGTAATAATTACATGCATTTGGTCTTTGCTTTTCCTAAATACCCTTTTGAATTTGATCCGAGTTGGAATTCATTTTCTTACCCTTTTTACTTTGTCAATTGCATTTTACCGTCAAAATGATTAAACAAGAAAAAAAGTTGAGACTTTTTTTAGTTTGCCTTTAATTTCTCGTTGTCTAATAAAAATCTCAAATTCAATTTTGATAAAAAAGCGATAGAGTTTTATTAGATTAATTATTAAAAATAGTGAGTATAAATGACATATACTGTAAAGGAAGTCATCCCAGTAACAATATCTCAAATTCATTTAAATTGTGATAAAGACGTGATTCGATCTTTAGATAAACAATAGTTAATTTTATCAACCCTACTACCCCCTTCGAGAAGTAAGAAATTGTCGGATTTATTAGAGCATACGTTAGTGTTGGTATTTCTCAATGGTCAAAAGTGATTTGTAATTAGAGTAAACGTTTTTACTCGACTGAACGTGCTATGCTACCTACCACCCAAACCCCAAACGAGATAAACAATACGGCAAAATGACCAATTAAATGCCTTGGACTAATTTTTTTTAAAAGTTAAATCAGCTAACCCATTCAAGTGGTTTAGAGCTCTTCAATACCAAGTAATTTTGATAAAAAAGCGATAGAGTTTTATTAGATTAATTATTAAAAAAAAGAGAGTATAAATGACATATACTGTAAAAGAAGTCATCCCAATAACAATATATCAAATTCATTTAAATCGTGATGAAGACGTGATTCGATCTTTAGATAAACAATAGTTAATTTTATCAACCCTACTACCCCCTTCGAGAAGTAAGAAATTGTCGGATTTATTAGAGCATGCGTTAGTGTTGGTATTTCTCAATGGTCAAAAGTGATTTGTAATTAGAGTAAACGTTTTTACTGGACGGAAAGTGCTATGCAACCTACCACCCAAACCCCAAACGAGATAAACAATACGGCAAAATGACCAATTAAATGCCTTGGACTAATTTTTTTCAAAAGTTAAATCAGCTAACCCATTCAAGTGGTTTAGAGCTCTTCAATACCAAGTAATTTCTGGAGACGACCATTGCACTGTCACGTGGTGTTTTTTTATTTATATATAAAAAAAAAGTATAAATAACACAGACGGTAAAGAAAGTCATCTCAATAACAATACACTATACACATAGTGTTATATCCACTAGTGTTATAATATATATTTCATATCTCACGTTATAAAGTATGAATCGACCACCCTCATATTATACCACTTGAAATAATTACATGTTTAACAATAATTTCATTTCTTCATATATTATGCATGTTTGAAAATGATATGATGGGCTCCACATATACATTTGAGATTTGTTGAGTGTTTATAAATTCCATGTTATGATAAAAGGTTACTAATATTGCGATTACTTATGAAAGTCCAACATCAAATTACAAATCCACATGTGGTACAATTTGATTCATACATAAATGTTTTGGATTGAAGCCAAGCTTAGCAGTGCCTAGACAATGACTAATTTTTCACATGTTTTTTAAGGTTTTTATATATCAATAGTGTAATCCAATAGTTTCCATGTTGTGTGTGTGTGCATATGAGTGAGTTTAAGCTTTTTTTCTTTCTTTCTGAGATTTGAGAAACATGTCAATAAATACATGGGACCACAAACAAATGCAAAATTATTGTAAATTGGATTATTCACAAACCCCATGAAATAAAACCAAAGCACCTTTGAGTGTTTGGTGGAACCATTACCTTTGCCCTTTCCCCTCCCTACTCATGCTATGCTATATATTGATTGTAAAAATGTCTTTATCTTATCTAAATATTTTCCCAATTAAACTTATAATCGAACATGAAAAAAAAAAAAGGATTAGGAGCTTAAATAGCGAGGAAGGGTGAGGTAATGGAGAAATTTTTATATGTTTCGGGTACACCACATGCATGATATACCAATCAATACATACAGGCCATGTGAAAATTATTATTCAACTTACTGCATTGCTTTTTATGACATGCGCTTAGCTGCATTGGAAATATTCTACATGTTCTATGTTTATTGGATTGTACATCAGCCATGTAGTGTACTTAAAACACCAAAAAATTACTCAGGGTAATGAGTTGCGACCATAATAGATTGATGGTTCAGTTTCCTCAAATATTTTTAAAAAGAAAAAGAGGATTGAGAGATGATAGATATGAAAATAGTTGTGAAAAATTACAAGGCTAATTTGAAATTGCATAGACTTTTCCTTCAATCAAAAGTTTTGAATCTTGATTGATTTATTTGTTATAAAGAAAACATGTTACTTTATACGACAATAAATTTAATATTTTATGTTTGTTTTTGGTCAAGCATAAATTATTAGTACCAAAATTTCGTGGACATTATACTTTATGATGATTTTCATGACTTTTAATTAGACCTTTTTTTTCGTTTACGAGTTTTATTTCGGAAATATATCACAATATGTTGGAAGAATAATTCTACACCTTTGCCAGATCTAAGCCCACAACCCAATGCGAACCCAAGGCCCATATTTAATCTACGCCGTATGAGTAAATATACGATGAAATTGTGTTTATACGTACAGAGAAAAAAGGAAAACGTATCTGAACCGTCCACCGACTCCTGTGATGGGATGGATGGGGATCTGTGTAAATCATGCGGGTCCCACGTGAAAGGACTGCAATGAATGTACGTTTCACTTTTTTCTGTGGTGCTTTTACTGCTGCTTCTTCTTATTTTATTTTTCAAACAAAACATAGTAAATGACGTAATACTAAATTACTTAACAACAAATAAATAATAATAAAAAAAGCATACGTGGTTTTTAATAAGGGCTAATTGTGTGTAATTACAAAGCCTTATATCCTCGAAGTTTCCTACTTACCCAACCAAAAAATAAAATAAAATAAAATAAAATTATATACCACGCTAGCTACCTCCACAAGTTCCAAAAAATTCCAAGTGTAATGAATAAACAAATATATGAGATTTTTCAAAAATATTTTTATTATAATAATATTTTTTAAATGACCTTTTTCTTCTCCTCGGTAAACGCTATAAGTAGATATGTTCACGTGGACACAGTGTTGGCCTGTTGGGGGTATTTGCGTCACTCTCCGAAATTTTATATTCAAATTTAAATTTTTTTAAAAGGGAATTAAAAGTTCCAATGTTCAATATCTAGTTGCTTCAATTAAGAAAGACAATGAAGTGAAGTGCATACTAAACAATCAAGAATTTAGATGTGCTTCCTGTCCTAATACATTTTTTTATTTCTTTTTTCTCTTGGTGACTTGGCCAACTTACTCTCCATTCTATTTGATTGATTTTTAAACCCCTTTTAAATTTACAAATGCTTATTTGAGCACCTAGCACTGCAACGTTATGTTATTAGATAGTATATATATTTTATACTAATGATATTGAGAAATAGGGATCGAACTTAGACTTCATGTGCATGAATAAATGTTCTTAACCACATATAACGTTAACATGTCATGTTGTTTATATACCTTTTTATTATCTACAATTAGTTCATCTGCAAATAAAAATTAGGTCATTTGACAAATACAATGTATTTATTCCCTTTACATTCAACTTCGATCCATCTTCTATGCGCCTATTTTTCCTCTAATTTTCAAAACCATACCCTAAACTAAACCAATTACCCCATCAATTAACATTTCTAGCTGAGTTTCTTTCTATTGGCTTCTTCCTTAAAAATTAACACATGGTTGAGCCCTAGCCCTAGGTCATTTAATTTCCACTCCTATTATTCTCTAGCTCTCTTGGTCTCTTTCTTCTCAATCCTCCATTCTCTCTCTATTATACTTATGTTATACAAGATGGTATGGTGGAGATGTGATTAAAGTTCTCATAAAATGTACAAAATTGCAAATTTTGGACTAATTAGCATGCACTCATACTAATTTTGGGACTAATTGCAATTTCTTTTAATTTGCATGTAAAATGCATGGAGAATCGAAGAAACTTTATGTCCCATTTTGAAGGTTCGTCTTAGTTCTCGAAATCTCCGGACTGGTCCTTTAAATATCATACACGATGTTAAAATTGTTTAAAAAATATTAACGAAATTCGCACGGAATGTCACTAGAGTAAATGATGAAATTTGAATAAGCACAATTTCAAACTCAATATGTTTTTAGTTCCCTCCATTTTCCTGGTGTACTCTATCAATTAGCAATTAGCGCTGTTTAGGCTATAAATCCACATCTTTATAATTAGTTGGCTAATCACTTTTCAATTAAGCCAAACAGACCATTTCTTCCATTTTAGCCTTTGCCAAGCTTGAAATTACACACACAAATCCACTCATCTACTGTTCAATGGCGTCTTCTTCACCATCTCAGCCGGATCTTCAGCTCCAACTTCAACCGGAGACCGAGTCTCAGATGTCATCTATCGTCTATGGTTAGTTCATTTCTCCCTCGCACAATTTCATTGTCATTTGCGATTTCTTAGCGCGGTTTGGTTTGAGGTTTTGAGATTTTTGAGCGCCGATGAAAACTATTTGATTTGAAGAAAATTTGGATCAAATCGTGCAGAGATTTCACAACAAGTCCAGGGCGCAATGGAGAACATGTTGAAGATGATGAGGTTAGTTTTCAAACGCTTTTCAATTTTGATTTTAATTTCAAGGAGCTGTTTGATCGCTCTGCATATTATGAAGTTCTGATGGCGATCTGTTTTTTTTTTTTTTTTGTTTTTTGTTTTTGTAGCGAAATTGATGATAACTCTGCCGGAATAACCGAAGAGATAGAGAAGTGCAAAGAGCAGAGTCTTGAGAAGAAGAGAGGCTTGGAGGAAGCCAAAGAACAAGTTGAGAAAGCTGCTTATGCCGTTTTAGAGATGCTCAACAACAGAGCATAGAATGTAAGTGCTGTAAGTTCTTCTTCCAATCTTCATCTTTGACATGAGTTACGCTATAGAATTTCATTGATAAGGTGACTGAAACTGATTAGTGATCATTCATACATCATTTTCATGTTCATGTTCAAAAGATAAACAAGTGATCGTTGTCTCTTAATGCGTCTAATTCTTCGACCTGTGAGCCGTCCGCCATCACAACTGTGCTTCCTCTTTTTCCCAACTTTTTCTCTGCATTCACAAAAACAAAAAACAAAAATGCTATCATTGATGTGATTTTATGAATTTGAATTTATCTTCTTTTATGTATGAATTTGAATGGCAGCCCAATAGCTCAATTCTGAGATGATTCTCATATTATATATGTATATATATATATATTCTATATTGTTTGGCAATGTGTGAAATCATTGAACTCTCTGGCCTTCTAGGGGCTGATTTTAGATTCTCATTAGTTCAAATTTGGAATAGCCACTTACCATCCAAGACCATCTTACAGTATTTTAGAATTGGTTAGCTTAGTCTTCAACAAATATCTTGGTATTGTTTTAGAATAGAAGCATTAGTAAAAGAAGAGTTTTTTAGAGGTATGGGTATTGGATTTGGTATTACCTGCTAATCTCAGAAGGTCTTCCATTGATTCAGGCAAATGAATGAGTTTTCCATTCGTGTCACCTTCATCTGGATGATGTCCATGAATTATCACTCTCAGGGTGATTGCCCCTGGAGTAGAAGTTTCGTTTGTCTCTGTACAAATGATAGCAAACCTATTAATACATACAATGATTGAATTTAATAGTAAGTGAACATGGCACAAATGCTATTACCTTCCATATTTGTATCTCCATGGAAATTCGCCAGCTGATTATATTGTGTATTCTCATTTGCTTGTATATGCTGCAAGGAAAATGTAGTCATCATCATTAGCATGAACTGAAACTACTCAGTACTGGCTTTTACATTGGTGAGAATTCATAATATTTTCTTCGATAAACAAATACCTTGTGAAATACAATTCAAGCTAAGGAAAAGCTAGATCAGTAGACTTAGATTTACAGGTATTCTGTTAAAAGGGAGATGTGTACCTCTATATTCAGCTCATCCAGGAATTCTGTTAGAAATGGAATTTCTTGTAGCATCTCTTGTTTTAAGTCTTTCAAGTGCTGAGAAGAAAAGAGTCAGTGTAAACAAATGCCTATGCATGATAGGGTTAGTATATATCTTAAGAAAAGGAAATGAGAGCAATGGATATTCAGGTTACAATACAAAGCTACATTTGCTAGCTGATATACTCTTACTTAAGTTATAAGGTGGTATTGTTTAAGAAATTTCTAAAAGGTTGTATAACAATGTTATGATAATTATGAGGGGACAAATGAGATAAATAATGTTACGAACCTGAATGAAGTTTTTGATCATTATCATTCCGTCTTCATTCTGTGGCTGTACCATTTCCTTGAAATGATGATGGCTGATCCGGATAACCTGAGAAAGCTTCTTTGTTCTCACCGTAAAAGGTTGGGGGGTATTGAAAAATACTCCAATCTCTCCTACCAAGTCTGCAGATCCTAGTTTTGAAAAAAACTGAAAAGTACAAGCTAATTTAATCAGGAAAATAAATATAAGAAAAGGGTTCAGATAATTAATTCTGGGCATCTGCTTCTCACTGTCAACATTGTTCTAGTAGCTTGTCTCTGTGATAGAATCCTTAAATCTTCCGAGAGTTGATTCATACGTCGCCAGTTAGTTTGTTTAACATGTTAGGAATCTCCCAATTGACTTTCTTTTTTCCTTTAACGGTGTGAGAAGAGATAGATATTTCATGGTTTCTGCTTTACCATACCTGTAATTTTGTATTTCAACTCCATATGTATAGCATCTTTTTAATTGTAAGTCTAAATGACAACAATCCGTTCCTGAATATGGTTTAAAGTTGATATTTTGATAATCTTTGTTCATTTGCCTCTGCAGGTTATTGGAAGCTTAACAGACATAATTCAATTTGTGTATAGAGGGACACACAGTAGGAGCTGTTAGCAGTCTGAGACACTAATGTGAATTTAGTTCAAAAGACATGCTTAAGTCATCTGACTATCAGTTTTGACATCCTACAATGCCAAGAGGTGCCCTTTGTTTTCTTTTCCTTTCTATATTTCTTGCAGTTCGTTCATAGCTAGCCACTCAATCACTGCGTTATAACATAGCCCTTATCTTGCATTGCATGTTTTACTACATTACAAGAAGTTCTTAAACTCCTGGGTCTTTCATGTTTACCCGGAGATTACTTCTTCATGTTGAGAAATTACAGTTAAAATACCACATAGGAACATACCAGTTTCTGTATGGAAGAGGCAACTTACCATCCCCACTGTTTGTTATCGGGGACCTTGAGAGTGGGTAAATTGCATCTTCCATACAGGAGAGATTCTGGACCCCGAAATAATGTATTGAATAGATCATAATGAAGTGCTTAAAGATACCTGTTCTGTGCCATTCTTGTATTTCAGCACGTCCTGCAGTTTCAAATGTGATGTGCAATTAAATTATGTTTCTTATGTATAAAGGATGAGAGAGAGAGAGAGAGAGTATACCAATGCTCCAAATACTAAAATGTAGAAATCTGTTGGAATTTCGTTTTGTAAGATGATATCAACTTTGGGTGGAAAATATTCGGCTTTCATCTCCGACGCCTGCAATAGCAATGTCTCCGGTAAATTGGCAAAACAAAATCAGATTATGGGTTAAGATTCAGAGGGAAGAAAATGGTTCTACCAATTGAACAGTGAGGTGCTCAGAGACTCCTTTGAATAGGTACGTTTTCTCGACGGTTCTGCGGAAGAGATGCTGGGAAATGCTGGATCTGATTGCTTTCGGAAGGTCTTCTAGCACTTCTTCTTGCTGTAACTCTGCTGTCTTGAACTTGAGTTGCATGTGTGCCAGCATTTGCTCTTTCAAGCCTTCTGGGAGCCTGTTCTTCCTGGCGTATCTGAATATTTCATTGATTGAATCCCTCTATATATAAACCATAATTCAACAGAATGTACAATTAGTCACCTGAGTTAGTCTTGACCATCGAATCTCATTTATTTAAGTGAAATGCTAGTGTTAATCATTCACGTATACGTAATTTGGAGAGTTGATGGTTGTGGATTTCACTGTGAGTTTCACGCACATCAACAGTTCAGAATGAGTAAAAGTTACCATGAATAAGGTTCGGACAGCGCTATGGACGATGAGATTGGTCATGTTTCCAACCAAATAGGCAAAGAGGCCAATGTTGAATAGCATATAGAAGATGCTGAAGATCTTCTCCCCTAAGTTGACTGCATGCAAGTCGCCATATCCAACGGTGGTGAGGGTGACAGTGGCCCAGTAGATGGAATAGGTGTAACACAACCAGATGCTTTTGTGCTCAAAGTCATTGACTTCTGTTCCAATCCATGTATTCGATAATGTTTTGTGATGGGTGGCCATCCAAAAGTAGAAGCAACCTGCTGAGTGCACCGCAAATAGTGTAACCTGTGCTCATGCATGGGAAAAGAGAGGTTGAGTATGAAACCCATTACAATTGATCTAACATGCTATGTTGTTAGACTATTAATCAAGACTGTTGATGATTTGGAATCCGGTCTAAATGTGTGATCAATGTAAAATGTTGGATATCAAATTATATCAAATAAAGCAAAATATGTGGTCAACATAACATCTTTGATATCTAACTGTGTCGAACGAAACATAGCTCAAAGTAGTAAAATTTGGTGAGTGGAATGATGGAGGAATGGTGAAGGGAAACTACTTACACAAATTAGTTTGACGTATCTTATCCAAAAGTAACTAAAGCGTGTGTCCTTCTCTAGCCTGCAGGAAATTAATTAAGAGATTAATTCTTGATTAGGATCTAAAATCAAATGTGAATTATGTGTGATTAATACATTATGTAGCTAGTTAGGTACCTTTTGAAGAGTTCACTGACGCGCCTAAGACGCCAGAGACGAAGCAAATTGAGGAAGCCAAAGACCTGGGCATAGTGCGAATTGCCAGTAAACATTCTGTATATGAGCTGAATTGGTAGAGTTGAGACTACATCCATTGCAAAATATATGCTTATCACATACCTGTAGCCAACAAAGAGGACATTGTATTACCATCATCATCATTTCAAATTATCTTTGGTAATTGTTAATTCCTCGTTACATCTTTTTCAGTATCAAAATCACAACGTTGCGTGGTGTTATCAATTCATTAATATTATAATGTGTATATATTTTATTAATACTTTATTACTATAGGTCCATCAAATATCAGCTATATTGTCCACTGATTTAATAAAATATATATTAATAACACTACGTGACGATGTGACTGTCATATCCAAAAATTTCCAACGTGGTATAAAATAGGCTAAGGCCGATTTTGGACAAGAATACAAAAATGTAACAAAAAGTGCTGGGCCAAATGGTGTTTTGGATTTTGATGGGCTGCCTTACTCAAGTGTCCCCATATGCTAACCGAATCTTATCACGGGCCACAAGGCTATGGTCTATAATGGGGTATAGGGCAAAACGTATTAGGGACGGTAATTGTTAAAATGGCAATCATTAATTAACCCAAACATAAAAATGGCACGACTTTCTAATATTAAGTAAACCAATTTTATGTCTGTTCTATAAACTTCTCATTTGTTTTATGTCTTAATCTCATATGTTTTGGCAAAGGGCCCACTAGTGTAGTGGTTTGAAGTATTTACTCCCTCACGCAATATTCTGGATTCGAGTCATAGCATCTGTGTAATGTGTGTGAGTTTAGTATGATATCGCCCCTCTCAATAAGAAAGGTCATTAAAAAAAATCTCATATGTTTTGAAGCCATTATTTACATCAGTTGTTTCAACTTTTTTAGAATATAATTTTCCTTCCAAATCTCTCATTAATTTGGATTAGTGGATTTAAGCTCAATTTTTTTAGAAACTTTGCACGTTAGTTTCCACTTATATACCAAATCACATCTTCTTCTATATCATGTTATAAATGGTATCCAATTTTTTTGGTTGATTCTTTCCTTAAACTGTAATTTCTGTTTGAGTAAAATGCAATTTTGGTCATTGAGTTTTGCATCAATTTGATCACTGTATTTAATTTTGAAATCGTGACAAAATACAGTGACTTACCTATTATAACTTTTTTTTGAAAAGTCTAAGAACAGTTTAAAAGAGAGAAAAAAAAAACTGCCTTTATGACCAGGAATCGCGCTCCTAAACGTTTCACGTTTACATGTTTTTCTAGCAATCAATTTGGAGACAAATGGGAGCAAATTCAGGAGAGATCATACCTCAAAGCAATTTTCTTGTGATCAAGCACCAAAAGGTAAGTTGACTTGTCCAAGTAAGCCACGAAGAACGTTAGGACTATATCAACGGCGAAGAACGCATCCACCACCAAATCAACGGGCATGAGAGACCCCGTTGCCACTTTCTTGAAGGCTAGCTCAAACGGCGACGCCCATGCTGAGTATATCACCAGTAACACCAAGAACGCCTGCCACCACCTGCGACGTCACATTCAAACATACATATCGAATGATCTTTTGCCAGACTGTGAATATATATATATATATATATCTTGACACGTTGTCAGACAGTGAATATATGTCTTAAGATGTGTTATCAGACAGTGAATATATATCTTGATACTTTACCGGTATCTCCTGTCGTAGGGAGCAATAACAAATTTCTTCAGCTGCAAGTGCTCTTCATCGACCACAGTTCCAAAAGCCGGTAAGATGCTGCTTGAGACCGAGGCCAAATTCCTGATTTCCCCGCTGGACCGCCTTCGGAACAGCAAAGGGAGAGGCGAGGTTGGGTCCGTCCACGACGTCATTGTTGAGAGAGAGAGAGAGAGAGAGAGAGAGAGAGAAGAGAGAGAGAGGGGAGGCTCTCGCCTCTTGTTTATGCAAGTCTACGATCTCGTTGAATTAGAATAATAATATAGCCATGTAAAGCTTCTAGTATTTTGTGCAAGTATTATTAGGGCTAAGTATTATATAATAGGGGTAAGGCGGTAGAGAGCTATCAAACCATCTTATAGTATTCATTGTTGTAACATAATTCGCGTGAAGATGACATATACAATTTAGGGAATTAATTAGTAGTGTCGTCTTAATGTCTTGCCTTATTTTGTCAATTCGCACCTTCATAACTTCCTATATTGGGTATTTGTACCATTTAATTTTTTTTCTTTTTTTTCTTTTTTCATATCAACAATATTTTGTCAGTTCGCAAAAATTATGATAAAGTATTGAGCTACCATCACGTCGTATAATATTCGTTCAGATGTTATAATATAAATAAATATTAAAATTAAAAATTTTCATTTTTAAAATATAATATATATGCACTTATATTACAATACGTTAACATCATCATCTAGATTAGGGGTGGACATCTTAAACCGAAATACCGAAACCGTACCCTAATCGCACCGTACCATACCGATTTCATACCGTTTTATTCGGTACCGATAAATATTCGGTACCGTACCGTACCGTACCAATCGAGTATGGTATGGTAGCGGTATCAAGATTTTGATACCGGTCAATACCGTATCGTACCGAATAGTACTCTATTGAAATATAATTTTTTTTTCATTCTCTCGCTCTCTGTCTCTCGCTCTCCGCCTCTCGCTTGCCTTTCAATTTCTCAAACGCTTTTGTCATTTATGTTTGGATTGTGTTTGTATTTTTGTAAGCCATAAAGCATAAGTTTAACTCTTTTGGTTTGTAAGCCATAATGCATGAGTTTTAACCATTTGGATTTGATGAATATGTTGATGGATAAATATTGATTTGGTTGATTTAGATATTGAATATGTTGATGGATATTGAATATGTTGAATCTTTGAATTTGTGACTTAGGCATCACTTATTTTGGTGCTGAATATTGAATTAGTTCATTTTTTAGTTGTATCATTTTGGTACCGAAATAATACCGATACCGTACCGATACCGATTTGGCACGGTACAGTACGGTACTAATTTTGGCAAACCATAATACCGTACCGTACCATACCGATTCAAATTTCCAGTATTAGTAGCGGTACGGGCTCAATACCGTACCGTGCCCACCCCTAATCTAGATTATAATACGTGAACGTCATCATCTAGTGATACTTTAATACCACCACATCAATGGATAAGTAGGTACTGTTAATTATTTGACTGAATGAACGCGGATGTCATGCGTGTGGCCAAATCGTCATATATACATATATATAAAATTCGATATTATTCATTGAGCTTAATCTGAAAACCTGTTGTCCCACGTCAGCATCACATGTTTTCGTCCTTTCACACCTAATATTTGACTTGAGTAAACTAAAGTAGGGCGTTTTTAGTTTGATAGGCGGCCTAAGGCTAGGCCTATTGACATTTTGCCTTGCTTCAAGGAAAAAATACCTTATGTGTAATCATAAATGGTAGGTTCTAGTGATTTATTCTGTACGTCAAAATAACAGTCGAGTGGTTTTATTTTGTTAAAAATGCCCATGTGGTCTTCACATTTTACCAATTTCAGTCAGATTTCCAATTTTCATTGATTTTGTGAAGGGGTATTCTAGTCAAAATGGCCACAGCAGCTCAGCACGTGAATGTCCTATTTCAAAAAGATATTGTCAAACTTCAATGGTCAAACATTGACTACAAAACAATGTCCGAGTCTCACTATTAAATTTTGGATATAAGTAATGGCGTATTATTCATAAATCGATCATTGCGTCTATAAATTAATTATTTTTTATGAACAGTAAAATATAATCTTCATACTGCAGAGCCAGAGAAAGGGAGTCCAAGATTTCTTATAGAAGATAAGAAAAATATGGAATTAAAGATCCAAGATTTTACAAAACATCAAACTCTTGACAAATAAAATGAAAAAAGAAAAAAACACGGGGCAAAATTTAAAACAAAAACAGAAACATATATACAAAGATAAGGCTATTCTTCTTTCCCATCTATCTATAATCTATCTACAGCCGCAGGCACTCCTCTATAATCTATCTACAGCCGCAGGCACTCCTCCCAACTTTGACTCAACTAACTGAAATCACTGATGAAGCAAAGAAACACCATATCAAGCTAGTTTCAATTCAATTATACACTGTGCACTCATACTTGCACGAATTATTTTCGATATCCGTTCGGCCTTTTAATATGATGTTCCCTATGCATGTTTTCAAACTTGAGCAAAGTTGCCGAACATTCTCAATAAGACACAGCTAACTCAATGCGTCAATAGCAGCTTCGGCAATGCCGGTGGGACAATACAATACAAAACAAAAATTTGTGGCAGGAGCAAACGCCAAGGAAGACAAATGCCTTATGTGTTCAAAGTTCATGTATCACCAGTTATCAGATTCAGCACCATGCCGTTCTAGTAGCAACTGGTTCCACTATCTTTGACCAGGCTCCATGGCTTTCAACCTTTCTGAGTGCAGCAAAGTTTGAAAACTAACTAAACAGGCCAACCCTAATTTGTATTGGTCGTAATTTCCTTGAGCAACATTTCACATGTACTGGGCCAACCATTGTTTACACATATCGAGCACAGGAAGTGCATTAGCATGTAATGCCTGCAAAAAAGTTGGCAAACTATATGAATAAATATAGTATAGGAGCGGTGAGCTGATTTCACAAGAATCATAGACGTAAAACCAGGTTTCAATTTTTAGGCCAAATATTTATATTATATTTATAAATTAAAAAAATCAAACTGTAATCCAAATGTAATTGTTTTTGGATTCCAAACCAAAACAGCCCTAAACAAGTAAAAAACATAAACACCAATAATGTCCTTTTTCCATGGATTCTTTTGTGATAGGCGCATTATCATCTTCTCTAATCTCCTATGTCTGCCACATCACATTTTTAATAGATGAAAAGGATAGTGTGGGAGATATGGATAGTGTGGGAGATATGGGAGATTTTCTGAGGAAAGGAAGGTAACCTGATGAGCTACATATTGGACATCAGCTACACTTCCACTACGAGAAGCAATTTGGAATGCACTTTTTAGACGACCACAAACCACACAAGCCAGAACCTTCCTGCATATACAAGTCAAATACAAAAAAAGCACGGAACAAATTTCTCAGCACCAAAGTTCAACTAATCAAAGTTAACAGTATTCCAGCGCCGTAAAACTAAAGCAGCTAACTCAAGAATGACATTGTTAATTGCTTGGAAAAATTGACAAAAGAAAAACATTATTTCAGCATTCGTCCAAAGACTTGTTCTATACAGTAATTATTGAGTGCATTAAAAAGAGACCACATACGGAAGTATGCTAGTAGAAGCCAACAAAGGATGGGGTAGGCATATATGGTCATAAATGTTGAGGTCTGGATCCATTAATTATTAACTTGATCAATAACCACAATGGTAAAATGATACTTTTGAACAATAATGGGAACCTAAAGCAGGTCTCAAGCAGCAATGGGTTAATGACACTGATAGATCACCACCAATACTATGAAATGCCTTAAAAAGTAAATACACATAAAAGTTAATAATTTAATGTCCTTAGAATCTACTCAAAATCACAGATCTTCTGTACAGTTATGAATAATGACAACAAGGAGTACTGAAAGAAACCATTACCTGTGGCTACTGGTCAACATGTCAATGAGACGGTCAGGGCGTTCTTTGTGCTTGTTGGCATATACGTTAATTGCAGCACCCAGGACCTACATCAATTCAAAAATACACTTTTTATTAAATTTAGAAAAAAAGAACAGAAATTGAACTAGTTTCCAGCTTCCACAAAGAGTAGGCTGATTGGGAGACACAGAAAACCAGTTTTACAACAAAATTACAGTTTAGAAGTATGCAAGATGTAAACCTTAGGCTGAAAACATGTTGCCAGCTAAAATTTTATTTTCAGAATCGGTTTATTATTAATCGACCAATGATCAGAATAATTTAGAGGTATTTCAGCTATCTTTGAATTGTTCCTCTTCTGTTAGTAGAAAGTTTGAAATAATACTGAGGATGACGATACATATTGCAATCCTTGAGTGACAATAAAATTTTCTTTTCCTTTTGGTCTTACAATACAATAAGAAGTATATGACCAACAACTCCACATATAGTTTACTTCAAACTAATTCTACTGAAGAGCATCAATGAATGATGATTCAAACTATATAAACTCCTTCAATTTCGAGACCTTTTTCAGTTCTCCAATTTCCATGCTCTCTTTGTATGTTTAGAATAAAAATTTTGATTAGTCAAAAACCATCTATGTTATAATCATTTCAACTCTTAAGCCAACTAAAACTAACCCAAGAAACTAATAAACCATAAGTTTTCTAGTCATTTTACAAACAGTACATACAATCTACTAAGAGATGTAGATCACATTACCTGGTCCCAATCATCATCATCAATGGTCCCTTTTATGTTTCTAAAGAATTCTGTCAGTTGACTACCTCTTTTTCTCTCGGCGAGAGATGCAGCTACCCCAGCATATATATCCACAGCTGAAATTAATGAGAAGATGCATTAAATCTAGAAACTAATCAATTACTTCATGAGAGAAAGGCGGGATTGAAAATGAAATTATTATGTAATGGCTACCTGGAAGATTGAATTCATAAATCACTTGGAAAGCCAAATCAAAGTTCTTTTCCACAAGAGACTCAGCAATTTTGCACCTTCTCCTGCAAAAACAGGGTGGAGAAGGTGTGACTTTCCTCACCATCATATCAAAATATTTCACAAGTATCATATACCATGGCAGAAGAACATTTTTAAAGAACATGACACCAACAATCGTAATAGAACCCCCAACAGGCCTAAGGTCAACTTTGTGACACATTCGCATTAAGGAAGACAAACTAAAAGACAAATGCATATTAACCACTAACAACATGCTGCTCAACAGTTTTTTCCTTAACTCGCTAACATGAACTGATATTAATTAACAGTAATAGCTATTTCAGAAAACAAAACTGTTTAAAAGGCCTTGTAGAAACAAAAGACATAATGTCTTTATAACTTGGAATTCTAGTCATGCTTGTTGCCTGTACAATATATACAAATATATGAAAATACAACGCAAAAGAAACAGCTTGGGACAGTGAAGTGATTGGTTTCTTCACTATCATAAAAAACTAAAGAGATCACTAAGCCCAGCAGCAAGTAAAATGACTCAAACCTGAATGTTTCAGGATCATTTGGATTTCCGAAAAGTGAATGTTTCCAATGAGGTCCATCTGAATCGTTATAGGATCTCACAACTTCGACCTGCCATACAATAAACCCACAGGAAACATGAGAGACTAATACCAAACAAGCTGTTTACTGAATTAACTAGATTCTGGATATCAGTTTCAACCAAATAGATACATATTCATAAGTCAGCTATTTGTTTGATCCATACAGATTACAATGTACTAAACTACCATGAATTTTTTTTCTTCATAAAATTAGATACCTTAGGCAGGGCCAAATCGTCAACACAGTTCACAGTATTTTAAATTGCCATAGAAAATGTTGTTTCTTCATAACTTATTAAGAAGCGGATAACGGTGCGTCTGTTTGGCAACATGCTCTCTAATTTTTCTGGTAGTGTGCATGTCTTGGTCAAAGGTGCATATATGTGAGCATGCCCTCAAGCATAGGTTAATGAATCTCGTGATGGATTAATTCTCATGTGTACTCTTCTCTTCTCCAAATCTAACTTTAGACTGTTTCCATCTCTGCTTTTGAGATTACACATGCAATTAGATACCCACTTGTCTGCATTTTCACTCGCAAAATAATGTGCATACAAGTAACTTTAAGAATGCCAGCTGTCTCTATTTTCAAAATTACAGGAACCGTCTATCTCTAGAAAAAGGCACAATCTACTTGCCAGTGGATTAATCAACATAGAGTCAAGAAGGGCAGGCCCTGACCTATCAAGAAAAAACTAAGCTTACAGTGTTTAAGAGAGAATATAGTATTTGAATGATGTAATTACCTGAATTGCTACCCGAGCCGAAAACTTGACAAGTCCTTCTTCACTGAGCTTTTCAGAGGCACGTTTTCCTCTAACACCCTTCGTCACAAGGTTAGTAGAATCTCCACCTTTGTATCGTGCTGATAACGCTTCATCAAAGTGCATCTACAACCAACAAAAGATAAATGAACAACATGACAAACATATACAGGCAACTACTACAAATTCAGTACATTTGAAACACTAACATGTTTAGGTAACTAATACGCACGCACAAAGGTAATATCATTTTTATATAATGATTGCATCACCAGGCTCTTCAGAAGTGAAACATAATCTGAACGTATTCAACAATTGTTATTATGAACAATTCTAAATTTGTAAGCCAAAGGTGCAATCAGGGTCAAAGCTTTCCTGTGAAACATATACATTTTATCAGCAATTCTCTAAAATGTAATTTACCTGTCAAGCATTAATCGAATGAATTAGGGAAATGTCATCACACTTTGGGAAGCTTGATTGGATAATAAAACTGAATAAAAAACTTCTAACCTAAACTTGTCCAATCTACTGCAAACTTAGACCTAATTCCCAAACGATAGGGTTGAAATTCCCCTGCCATTATACATCCAAACGCATAGGAACAATGCTGCAAATAGTTCAACAATTAAGGTGGTCCAAGAGCAATAAATAAAAGCATACCTTGGCATTTTCCAAGTGTTTTATAGCTTCCTCTTGCAAATATGAGTTCATAAACAATTGGATGCAGCAAAGTCCAGCAGCAACGTGGTCCTTCTTAATAACCTGAAAGATGGAGTAAATTTCTGAATTCAACTAAAAGAAAATAAAAATACAATATGATGAACCTTCATGCAATAACAGGACATTTATAAGATCAAAACTTCCCCTAGTTAAATGTATACTGCAAACAAATAAACAATTAAGTGAATAAATAGTGAGAAAAAAAAGATGGAACACTGATCAATATGGTTCGTCCTGAAATTTTAGGTAATAAAACCATGCCTTGTTCCTTTTTCCAATAACTATTTTGATGAAGTCTTATGCGGGGTGGTAGACTGTCCGCCTTGGAGAAAACATCTTTATCTTTTATAACAGTGGATTTAAACAGGTTCTTGACCCAAATAAGGATGAAGACTTTTCTCAAATCCAAGGAGGGAGACACTTAGGTGCTCAAGAATCTTTAAAAACTCCGTAGTTAATGGGGTTGCAAAATAACCCCACTGTCCATTGCTATAGCACCATGGAAGGATACAAGCATGGACTTTGTGTTGGGATAGTTTACAAGTGGAAGAAAAAATGGACCAGAAGATTGGAATAAATGCTTATGAAGAATTCTTGCCAAAACAAATGAACAAGCCATGTTTAGAGGGGTTGCACTGAAGAAATATAGGCGCCGATAGTATTTGGGTATCATCAGTCCTCTACTTACTGTGTAAGAGGAGTCGCACTGCTTACTATTTGTGTCATGCAACGAATATTATTAATATGTTGAAGACACAAAAAGAAACATCTTTTGTTAAATTGTTATACTATCCTCATTTCAGTACAAGTAAACCCCATTAAGTGAAAACTTTACCTGGAACTTGTATAAATAATTGAAATGCCTATGAGTTTCACAATAGATGCAAATACGGGCAAGGGCTGCAGCGGTATACTGGTTTACTGCTACATCTTGCGGGTTTGCAGATGTCATTCTTTCTGAAATCACTTCTTCCAAAATAGGCATTGCGCCATAACCAATACACAAATCACACAAATCGTCAATAGTCCCATAATCAGTTCCCAAAGGGTCTGGTCTTTGAGGGGATGAGGACGAAGATGCCACCCCCACTGTTGATGGCTGAGGAGGTGGGGCAACAGTATTTGGAGGAAAAAACAGCATGCAAGCATCATTGTAATGGCCATGCCTAAACATGAAATTGAGCAAATGCTGTCGTGCATACTGCAAAGGGTTGCAAAAAGTTACATACAAGAACCTGATTATATGAACAAAAACATAAAATTTATAATTGGCTATAACTGGAGAAGGAAGTAGCAAGAACACTACCATTCATAACACTAAGATACAAACAAATAAAGAAAGAACCACCTAAATATGTAATATCAATTGTGTTACCAAAAACAAAAACAAAAACAAAACTTCTTATGATATGTGTGTGGGGGCAAGATCAACTGATATTAGTAAAAAAAATCCAAAAAGCAGTTAAGTTTGCACCATTTAAATAAGTTTTCAAGTTTTTGTTTTTGGTCAATCCTAGTGTTGGACTGAATGCTCTAATCATGAACATAATATTACCCAAATTTAAGCTCAATCCAATACAGGCAACTATCCAATCACAAAGGTTCAACATTGACTTAAAGAGACTCATTCAAATGCAATAATTTTGTTTTAAAGAAAATAGGATTTGAGTGAAGTAGGAAAGCTAATTACAAAGAGTAATCCACAATCTCAAGAGAAAATATAAAAAACAATAAAGAACAACTCAAAATGGTAAGCTAAAAAAAGCTCAAAATTCGAAATATCTAGTCTCACTTCACAGCTGCTAACAAATCCAACATTAAAGTCTCACATTCAAATGCAGTATCACCTAAATATTTAGAGATATCAGATAAATCTGAAATTTAGTAATGTGCAGTACATCATTAAACGCAATGGTAAGATAGGCAAAAAGGAAATACTACAAAAATTAGCAAGTAATGTAAGTAGCTCATGATGAGATTCCTTGGTCCTACTGTTGTTGATGCATGTGACTGAAAACAAAGTTTAAACATTCAGATGCTTGTCATTTAGAATCTGTAAACTGGGATGCTAGACATAAATGTACCAAACTTGAAACTCTAGCTTGAGCATAGAAGGAAGTTGCAACTTACTTCTTGTAAATAGTTGACACACTCAACATACCGAACACTGTCTAAGTTGCTGCGTGGTCCATCTTCAAAGTCTGAAATATATGTGGAATTATTATTTGCAGATTCATGAGAACGCCTGGATCTCTCTGAACGAGGAAATGTGGAAGGCAAGTACAACACATTGAGATATGAATCAGCAGAAAGCGAATCATCCAAGATTGTTGGTGCACTTTTAGCCAAATGTTCATACCTGCAGTATAAGTTGCATTTTCAGTTTATACATAATGACTAGCTTCAGAAAAGTGTTTCTTCTCCTGTCCCTTTGTTCATTACAGGAGAAAAATTCAAGCATAGATTTACTCATTCAGGATCAAAATTCCAGTGCACAGAATACATAAGGTACCTGATACATAAGCAAAATTCTATTGGAAATGTCACACAGGGTCATGTTCAGAAACTCAATTAAAAAAACCAAGACCTGATACATGAGCAACACTACAGTGCCTCTCATCCCAGGCCCAGGGCCACACAAATAGATGTCAATCTTAATATATATATATATATTAAATTAAAGAAAAAAATGCCTTTCCCATTCCAGGAAAAGGGCTGCTACATACATCATGCACGCGCAATGGATAAACTCAACTCTTCTTGAACATTACCTCATCTCAAATTTAACAACCAACCAATGTTTGTTCAGATTGGCAAACAGGCCCAATAGCAAGTAAAGAATCTTGATGCCTATTACTTTCAATTTAGTTTACGACTTTCCGCACAGAGTTGAGTTTCTTCTTTCTCAGTTTTATCAAGCTAATACAGAAACAGGAAATTACTAGCATCATCATGCTTATTGTAAACCTTCACATCTACGAAGATCGGATTCTAAAACCTTCAATGATAATGTGTTCTTTTAAGTTGTTATTAAGGCAAAATAGCCTAGTGATAATGTGAACTGCATTTTTTTTAAAACAAAGTCGCAGCACATGCTCAGAAATACTGCCATTAGGAAATAGAAGGAGCTATCAAACTCCTATAGAAACCTTCTAAAACCTAGCCTAGCTTGGAAAAAAAACTCTCTCAAACTCCGGCTCACACAGCATCCCGTTCACAAGTTAAAAATTTAATTTCTGATTTCAAAGCTGTATTGCATCTTACATGGAACGAACAGCTGAAACATCAACCGGCGGACCTCCCTCGATTGTATTGATGATCTCAAGAATGACAGGTGCAGGATCGGCCTTGTATAGCTGAAGAGCTTGCCTAAAAATCAGAAGGGGTAAAATGACATTAATAAGCAACTGTACCATAGAGAGAGAGAGAGAGAGAGAGAGAGAAGGGGAAACATAGTTCATTTTTATCGATCAATAAAGCCATAGCCTTTTTATGCCAAATTCAAAAAAATAAAAATCCTCGGCCTTTTTATGCCAAATATAAACTAAACATACTTGAACTTCACACGAGCTTGTGCATAGTGCTCCATCCGAATCAAAGCATGTCCCCATGCATTCCAAACAGGGACAACATCAATCTGACAGAAGCCCCACATATTCATAAGCTCAACATGCTTTAAATAATCATGCCAAAGGAAAAACATACTCTAAACAAAACAGAACAATTAACTGCAACTTCCAGCTAAGATACTTACCTTGCACTTTTTGCATGTATATACAGCCATGCTGTACCGTTCATCTACAATCAACCTATCACGGAGACAAGCAGATGAGACTTTATCGGCAATATCATCTAGAGAAGCAGCAATTCCGGATCCCAGGAGGCTCTGGAGCAGCTCAGCACGTCCTAGCCAAATGTCTGCCTGCAAGAGAACTTCAGATAGCTCATCTGTGGACTGACTGCCCACACTGGAGCTACCAGCATCAGAGGATACATCATCAGCGTCCCTACTTCTTTCAGAATTACTCGACAAATCACTGCCACCCACAAGCTTTCTCAGCAGGGATTTAGCATAAAGTAGCCCCTGTAAAAGCATGTCGTGAGAACTAGCATTACAATCTGCATTACCAACTACACTGCACATAAAGGTGATTGCATAACAAAACCATAACCCTGTCTTTACAAGGCAAAGATACACGATGGTTATGGAATTTTAACCGTGTTGTAATAGCTTACTGAAGGTATACCTGTACAAACGTCTCTGTGGCATGATATGCTCGACCAATTATTTCCATAGATGCATTCTCTGGCAATTGTTGGGAGCTCAGCACATTCTTCATCTGATTAACACACAAATCCAATGCACTCTTTGCAGAGACAGAGTCATCAGAACATAGAGAAAGCAGAGCCTACAAACATAAATACCAAACTGTCAGCCGAGCAGCATGCCTAAACAAGATCCCTGCATGCTGAAGAACCCACTACTTAACTGGATATACAAGCATAAAATGTTACAAATCAGAGGAAAACTTCATACAGGGAAAGTGTATAATTAAGCTTGCGTGCACTTATGAAATTGGCAATCCTCAGAAGTTAGAATACCGATGTAAGATTAACCCATGGATTCTCCCATAATATCTACATATGAAATGGAGCAAATGGCAGTATGAAACATTATTAGCTTTATGGACAGCAAGGAACATATTTAGCTTTACTGTCTTTATTATGTATCTAGGGGTGCTTTGCAAATTAAAATGCAAAAAGGTATAGCCTATTTCACTAGAATACCTTGAAAAGGGTAATGTCAGGGGCACTTTCATATCGGTGAGATGCACGAACAGCTTCATCCTTCGTTGAATCACCAGTTAGCATCCATTCTTCAGAAATTGAAATAGCAGGAAGCCGTTCTTGCCCATCAACAGAATATGATGAAGCACGATCCTCCTGGATACCAGCCATGGCCTCCCAAGCTACTTTTTCCGATGATGTCAATCCAGAACTCTTTCTTTTACGGTAAACATCTTTTGGGGTGGCCCTGTCTCCAGTATTTCGTGGAGCCCAAGAGAAAGCTCTGCGAGCCTCTTTTTGCAAGTTATTTAGACTGCTAGTGAAAGAAGACCTCACAGGAGCACCTGTTCTTGTTTTCTGCTTTAATCTAGTCCCCGAAACAGATACTCGATATTCTCTTGGAGGTGAGCTAATACTGATAGAAATAGCTTTAGCAGCGTAGGCAATAATGACATTATTGTCTCTCAACAAAGGAAATTCTTTGAGAATCTGTTAAGCAAAAAAATGTTGATTAAGTAACAGCATCAGAGAACTACAAACACAGAAGAACATGCAAAACACCAAACTGGATAAGGAATCGCAATCCAAATTTCATGCCTTTCATGCAGTAAGTAGTGACAAATGATCTTATGGTATTCAAATCTGTCTAAATACAAAATATGCTAGACATTCGTGTGTGACTGAAGGAACTTAAGAGGTGATATCTAACCAATGCAGCAGACTGTAGCTGTTTCCTCATCAGAAGAACCTCAAGTATCAAATGTGGGTGCTCGTGCAAGGAAGAACATCTTTGCTGCCATGGCAATGGCAAGGCAGCCAGAACACGAAGACCTAAGGCCCATGAGTTAAGCCGAGAAACCTCAACATCCGAAAGATTCCCTTCTCTTCGCTTCAGGAAGAAATGAACCTTTACAAAAGTAAAAAATAAAAATCACAACTAAGAGGTATATGAAATTCAAAACTCAAATACTATACTTTATGAGATCAAAATAAATTTCCAGCAGAATATTGCCAAAAAGAAAACTAATTACAAGCAGCTGCTTTGACCGCAAATCAGGTAAAAGCTGCATTGCACCCATGGCAACTGGTAGGGCATCATCTGAGTCACGTAGGGAAGAAAGAAATCGTGAAGCTTCTGCTGGACCTCCACCACTGAGAGGATCCGCAGTCAAAAGTTTTACAAGTTGCCGGCCCTGCAGTTCCCTCCGCAATTCTATGGATAATCCTGCACTTTCAGCCACTTCTAAAGCAGCAGAAACAGCTCCTTTTCCAGCTAATCTAAGTGCTAACCCCTCAGGATCTTCCTTACACTCTGCTTCAACCTGACATTGGACAAAGAAAAACAAAAAGAGAGAATAGAACCCAAATTAATACGATATCCATGCTACCATGAAATAAATAAATAAAAACTAGCAGAACTATGCTCTTAATATCTCTATCATTTTCACTTCTCATTTTAGTCCACAGAGTCCAGAATTATAACCTCTTGCCAGCTGCTAAAGTGCTCATCTGCATTTAGAATGTGGCTGTACCTCTGCAAAGCTTGTCTCATATGCATGACCTATGCATCCAAAAGGAGTACATCATCAACCAAAAATAGTTGAAAAATTAATGCAACATAGAGAACCCTTATCAAGCTTCAGGTAATCGAGACAGAGATTTAGCAGTAATAGAATATAAGCAACTTATCAAATCAAAAGGCAGTACCTCCTTCCTAATGGGATCATTTTGAGGTAGGTGGCAGCTGCACATTATGAGAACATCCAAAGCAGCATCCAACTCCCATCTATGCATATACCTGGAATAAAACTTGTAAGACTCTAGAAATTCTATGGAAAGAAGCACGTAATTGTTCCTATATACCATCAGTGCAACAATGGGAAAAAGGTTTAGTTGATTTACAACATGTAATACTAGGAACCAAACCGAACCAAAAAAAAAAAAAAAGACTCAGAGGGAACAAGTGGGGGAATTGACTCTTTCCAACTAACAGGAACAAGACATTTTCATTAAAGACCGCAATAGATTCATAAACTTCCTGCATCACTTAAAAATTAATAAAAGGCCATGTATATAAATCTGAAATATCAAATAGGAACATTTTTATTACTAGAACCAAGCACTGCTCCACAAATGTAAAAAATAAAGATGATGGATGCCAAAGGAAAATATCTTAGTATATTTCATATCAGCTAGCATTCACCAAGGTAACTTATAAACCCATGACATTACATACTTGAGAGCAAGTCTAGCAGCCACTTGTTTATCCTTCAACCGCAGGCAATACTGCCAATTATTGCTCCAGATACTATTGCCTCCATAACCCTGAGAGAGTCCAGCGACTGAATGATTTTCTTCCCCACATTCAATGATTAGCTGAAGTAATTGATCTGAAGCTCCATTACGTAGAAAGCGATCAGAAAGTGCAAGAGCATCCATGAGTTTTCCATCATCTATCAATCTGTTAATTGACAGCAATCAGTGACTGGAAATAGTAATGCCACCTTCAATTGTCAGCATGATGACAAAATTATCCTAAAAGCAAACAAAAGAAGAACAGAATTGACACCAATAACACACCCTCCCTCCAAAAAATAAAGGACAATTCCAGATAAATATGCACTCCAAAACCAGATAATTTATACATGAAACTCCATAGAAACTAAAGACGCTAATCCAACATATGCATGCATATATTTCTCATAAAATTCCTTATGTTTGAAAAGTCTTCTTTCACTCTGCTTTTTCAGCACTAAAACCAGTCATACGATCATGCTTTCTGTCTAGTGGAAGATTTCTGAGTATGTATCTTAGTAGGTCATACAATTCGAAAATTTGACTTAGTAATGTGAGTCCCACCTTATAATTCAAAGTAAACATGCCAGAATGCATGGCAAACATTTATACAGAACACCAGCAGAAGATAACAATAGAAATCAGCTGAAGAAGTGAACAAGTATTGAGACCAAAAAAAAGAAAAAGAAGTGAACGAGTAATTGTTTATTTGAATGAATGTTGAAACAAGACAGAACTCCAATACCGTTGTACAGCTTTCTCATATGGTTCTTCATTTTCCCAATCAAAAGAAAGGAAAACTGAAGTGTCAAGCTCAGCAACGTCAGATTTTGAAGAACCATCCCAAGGTTCAGTAGCTGCACCATCTTGGCCACTGGCGTCTGGTAAAGCTGTTGAAACACTACTGCTACCAACAATGTCATCAACTTCTGACTCAGTATCGCTATCAATCTCACGTAGTCTCTTGATAGCTCTTGCTTCAGCTCTAGCCTCACCACCATCGGCAGTTTGCTTAATGGTTACAGCAAACTCCGAAACTCGATGAAGGTTAGTTTGCATTTGTATCCATCGGTTTAAAGTTGGGAACCTGCACGTCAAAATAACAAGTAAAAACTAGGAAACCATTATGTAAATGACAAAGAAAAATCATTTACAGGCATGAAAGTAACCTCTCAGATTGATCAATAGCAAACTCATAAAACAACCGGTCAACATCAGGTGCCTGCAGCAATCCACCGTCCAAGGAGCTCGATATAGAAGAATCACTGCCATTGTACAAAATGGTACTCCCAAAAACACATGCTAATACCGCCCTCACTGGGGATAGTTTAACCAAATGTTTTACTATATCTAACTCTAAAGGGTATAGAGGAATTCCAGGCAATGATGAGGAACGGCAGTAACTATTAGGCTTCGCTTCTTTGAAAGAGGGGGACAATACTTTATTTTCTGAGCCACTTTTAGGGAAGGTGGGAGTGACCGGAATGCAAGCCCACCCATGACCAGATCGTGGGGGATAAACTGGAGGTACACATGCTGAAATTACTTCATGCACAAAATCTGCACACATAATCTCAGCTACCTTACCAGCTGCATCAGTGCTGCCTCGATCAAAGACAAGACGGGTTAAAAGCTGCAGAATACAGTAGCCATACATGAGCATATCAATAATACAGCAGAAACAGAAATTTGCCAACTCCTAACATAAAGAACTTGTCAGCTTTCAAGTTAGTCCAAGTCAAATAGATCATGACACATAATTAAGAACTAAGAGACCTTCAACAATCAGATTTCATTGGTATCAAATTAAACAATAAAAACAGACTGGCAAGTCCTGTATCAAACAGAGCTAGTAATACCCCTTTATATATCATTGCTACCATTACATTAACGATCCATAAAAACCATGTATTTCTGAAAATTAAAATTATTACACATATTTATCTAATCAGTTTTTCATGAGACGAGTATTATACTTGAATAGGTTCTAACAGAAAAAAAAAATAGTTTTCAACTTGTACAAATATGAGTAACATGGAAAATATAGTTTGTATTGCATTTCTTTTTCCTCATTTTCATTAATTATACATTCTCTTCTTCTTCTTTTTTGTATAAGAAAAAACAATCGTATTCAAGAAAAATATACTTTTGACAACCAAACAAACAGCAGCTTGGGATAAAGTTAAAACTTTTTGTCTTCATCAAGTATACATTTACTGTTTCAGCAAGTGGGACATTCCTGGTAAATAACATGAAATGCTACATACAAAAACTAGCACAACTACTCATCAGTTCCACATTTATTTCCATCATAGATGTACCTAAAAGTCAATATAACATAGTACTTCATGTCGCATCTACAATAGTTGTAATTGTATAGTTTGTGGTTCTCTTTTGAAATTAAACCTAAGTATATAAGCAGTTCCTGAAATTAAGATGCTTCCAAAAATATCCAATTGTTTGAACCAAATCTCAACTCCAAAATTTTACTGAAAACAAAACGCAGAAAGCAAAGAATACTACAATAACACAGAAAATAATCTTACATCTTTGGGCCACTCATACACGAGTGAAAAAAAGTTGAAATCATGAGTTGTATCAGTTCCATCAACTATGTCACCAATTGCAGCAATATGGAGAATAAACTGTGAAAGATATGTCATGGGTTTGGTACTTAATGAACCAAAAAATCTCTTCCCACTGTCCTTTACATCATAACCAACAGGCTGCACACTTGTTTCTCCAATTGCAGAACTTGAAGGTATCTGCTTGGCAACTCTTAGCCCAAGTCCAAAAACTCCGTCTTTGTCAAGATCAGAAAGAACCTTCTGTTCAGCAGATGGGCCTTCTCCTTTATAGAAATTTAGCTCTGTTTCTTCATCAGCCACAGCTCTTGCAAGATTATGGAGCTTACCTGTGTGAAATTAAAGACATGTTTAAGCCATATGAAGCAGAGCAGCCATAGAGCATATTTATGTTTAAGCCATATGAAGCAGAGCAGCCATAGAGCAGATTTCTGTTTAAGCCATATGAAGCAGAGCAGCCATAGAGCATATTTCCCCTTCCTTCCACACTACGAAAAAGGGGAACTATAAAATGTACCACTGAGAAACTGCCGCTTGCCCTTGTGAGCATCCTCAATCATATGATGTAGCATGTCAAGAACACGTTCCCGTTGTCCTAGTCGGTGGGATTCCTTTGGTGAGGCAATAATAATCTCGCCGGACAAAGTGACCTGAAGGGCTGGAGGATTATCCTAGATGAGCAGATCAAGAAGCCAGGATCAATAACTAACAGTAAGAAGTAAACAGCAAGAATATTTTAATGCAGTAAGCATTCTAAACAGTGAAGCTATTAGGGACAGATAGTAAAAACCAAGAAGTAAACAAAAATGGAAGAACCATAGGATGGCAACGAATTATTGTGTTTAAATCCTGATTAAACAACCTTCATAATTAGATAGTGCAGTCTTTAATAGCCAATAAGAACTCTTTATCCGAAAAAAAAAAAAATCAAGATCTCACCTGATCCAAGAACTCATGTAAACGCTTAAGGATTCGTTTTAAAACAGAAATAACTGCCACTTCAAGGATCTGATCCCAGTAAGTGGAGCCTATCTTTGGAGAAACTCCTGGATATATCTCAGACAGCAGAACTTGAGCCTGCACATATAACAAATCATAGCTTTCAGTAAAACCAAACCACTGGAGACCATATGACTCTTGAATTAAACACCCTAACACAAAAACCGATCTACTGGAAACCATATGGAGGAAAATAATTTCAAATCTAGGGATTTAGATGACATTATAAGCTTAAATTGTTTGTTTAGACTACTACAATCCATGTATGCCAAAATATTAATAAGAAGGAAATGAAGAAAACAAATGGATTCCAGATGGCTCCTTCCATAAAGTCATTTCAAATTCATTTCAAATATACTACATCTAGTTATTCTAAATACATCCAACATGATGTTTTCTAGTTTTTTTAAACAAATTTAGCCTTGTTAAATCCAAATCCTATCTTTCAATTACCTCCATCTAAATGGAGCCTAAGAGAATTTCAAATTAGGGGGAACATGAAATTTCTAGATGTTGTGACACATGGAGAGAGTTTTCTCCAGGAGTGAATAATCAGTACCAGTGGAAAGCCAAAGATAGCAATTGAGGCAAAATTTACTTTCTTCCAAACTCATAATATTTCTCACACATGGCATCAAGTTTTACAACTAATACTTCGAACAGGGAAAAAGACCATGAAATGACATTTGTTTAGGAGGACCATAATAACAAAAATGTTGGTTTGGTAAAAGTATTTACTGACTACTTAGGGGTGGAAAAGTAAAATAGTAAAACTGACAGTGAAACTTTCAGATTATCCTGCTCACATCGATTTCTCATAAATGTTGGTTTGGTAAAAGTATTTACTAACTACTTAGAGGTGGCTTGGGCAATTTCTATATCATCAAGAAAACATTAAAATTTTCAATTGGATTTTTGAACACCACTTATCTTCTGGAAATTAGAAAATTCGAAAACAAAATAATCTAAGACAAGTATATATGAAGACAAATATCTTCATCTTCCAAGTTTATTTGAGCATTGCCTGATCCAAAAGCTGTTGGGATATCTTTGCAGACCGAGCAGAAGTAGCAGCAACGTCAATACAAAGAAGAATCTGGAAGGTTATATTGAGAATATCAGCCTAAACCTTAGAGAATTGATTAAATATTCAACCTCACTTGAAGACAAAGGGGAATAGAGACTTAACACTCTAAGCACTTACTGCAGCCAAAGGACCTAACTGGGAGCGCAACGAAGAAAAATTCAGATCATGTATTGTAGAAGTCCCACCATCAGTAGCACGAGAGACTACATCTTCTACCTAGAAAAGCCATAAAAGTGAGGCCATCTTATGAGAGAAAACTGAAGAAGGCACCGCAATACAAAACCAAACCACAAAAAAAGTCCACATAAAAAGGAAAGTAAAGTAAATTTGGAACCAAAGACAACAAAGATTCAGTAATATTATTTAAGCAATGGTTATAGATAGTTAAAGCTGACAAGCATAAAATAAGCAGTTACAAGGAATTTGATCTGAATCATACAGATTGTCTTCTGACGGCACTATCCACCCACTCAGCTAATTCGAGGGTAGCTTTATCTTCTGCAGACAATGAAAACCGATGCACTGCTTCTTCCCCAATGTCATATTTTGCTCTTTGCATGCAACTGAGACATATAAGAACAACTATAATATTTACCTTCAGAAAATAAGATGTCATCAACTTCATATTAACTGATGATGTACTATCATCTTCAAATATCAGCATCTATTTCTATCATTTGGCAAATGAGGTCATCATATTTTGTTTGGCCTGGGTGGTCAATATAGTTTATAATCATTATAAACTACCATTTTCTCCATTTGCAAACCCTATAACCAATATCCAAAAAGCAATTCATGCACAAGAACCAACTGATCATCATATAAATTCCCAAAGAAGAAAGGCTTGTAGAACTCACAGGTTAAGGAGCTTAGATGGTGCGGCACGTAATACAGTTAATGCCTCCTTCCACCGCCACTGGCGTTCAGATAAAGGAAGAAGACGCTGCAAAATTGACAACCGCCATTCCCACTCTTCAATGAAATGTTTAGCAATTGACGCTCTCCACTCCAATGCTTGTCTTCCACCCCTACTTACGCCATCACTTAGAGCATGATCTAGTTCAGTTATAGTTGTAGGAAGACAGTGATGTAATATACCAAGTAGTTTCCCCGTGAAAGACACAACCAATTTGTTTCCCTCTTCACGTGTTAGATCAGTTTGTTCTGAAGAACATGTGTAATGTGATTCAGAATAGCTCCCTGGTGAGGCACAATGAGCCAAATTGAGAGAAAGATCATCCATATGTAAAAGCGAAATTATGACATTCGCCATCATGATCTGCATCATTACAGAAGCATTATAAAATAATTACAATGAACAACAGGAAAAATATGCAGCAAACTAATAAAACTGATGACATCACGAACAAATTGAGAGCATTTAGATTTCAAAGGAAAACATGAAACTTCAAAGTAAACTTGAACAAAATACCAAAATGCAATCCATTTAGCAGTTGCTAATTCTCTAGCATCAGAACATGAATGATAAATAATTTCTTTTTCATGCATTTTTCGGCGATTATATTTTACACAAAACAACTTTCAAAGACAACATGCAACAGATTTGCCCGAGGAAGCATGTTAGACATGTAATTGCAAGTTGAACTTATCAAGCATAAACATGAGAAAATAACAGTTTTAACAACCACAAAAAGGAGTTAGGATTGAAAATGTGGGGCTAAAAAAAACATATTCACAATAGACTACCTTGCGAGGGATGTCATTGACAGCCTCCAAATGGTTCTGCAGATCTTTCAAATGGTCAAATGCAACTTGATGAAGACTTTCTCTTTCACCAGTCATAGTCCTTTCCATCACTCCAACCGCAAGAACAGCTGAATCTAGAGCATACCGCATGTGCATAAGTTCAATATCCTGCATCCTACCATATAATAAAATAGAATAGAGAAACGCGAAAACATCAACATGTTAAGAAAAGCATGTCAAATCCCAAAATGACAAAAATATGAAATACATAGAGTGCACAATTGGTCCCACATCCCCAGCCCCAGTTTCATATACAGATATCTCTATTATCACCACAAAGAAGAAGAAAAAAGGAAAACCAATTAATTTTAGATATCCAAATATATGAGTAAATAAATAAAGTAGCTTAAAAGGATGGCAGCATTGTCAAACCCAGCTCACTTCCCACACAAAATGATTTCTTTTCATCCTTGAGTAATACATGATGACAAAATAAATCGTGCACAACAAAGTAACACTAGTTCTAGTACCCGCTTAGCTATGATACAAGAATACACACCTCTTCCAGGCTTCTAAAGTTGAAGAAATTGGCTGCATGCTGATCAATTCAATAGCCTCCTGAAACTTTATGCCTGGAACAACATCAAACAATACCTACAGAAAATGCACCCGTCACATTCCAACATTCAATACAAAAGTGTTTAAAAAAAAAGGGTACACTACAATGCTAACTATATCTTTAGCATTTCTAAAAAAATATAATTCGGGGGGAAATGGTAAATGATTGTTCAGTGAAGCTTTCTGAAATTGCAATTCATTGTGATAAATTATTTTTCCTTTTTAGTAAAAATAATTTGTTTACAATACAACCTTATTGCGACTGACATGCCAATAATTATTCAGAGTTCAGATACAGACAATATTTGGAGTTTCATTTTATAATGTCAACACCATCATCAAGGAACTATGGGTTATTTTCGAAAGTTGAATTTCTCTTTAACAAGCACTGAGTCAATGTTTTTGCATTTTTCATGTGAAGGCAATGATTCATTACTAACTGGCATAGAAAAAGAAAATACCCATCAAACCCCTTAACATATGAAGGTAAGGTGAAAACTGCAATGGGAATTGAACATGTTCAGAGATCAAAAGACAATTTTTATGCAGAGAACATTTGCTACAAACTTACGAGTTACAACACAATATAATAGTATTATTATATTAATGTATAACAGAATTGTAATGCAAATGCACATAAAAATAAAAAAAAAATAAAAAAATGATGCTAGCATAGACATTTACATAAATCATCACATAGTGTTGGCTTCTATGTGGATTGTTTAATTTGAAAGAAATAATACGTTTTTCATGATATGGTGGAGGAAGTGGATTTACTTTGGGATATAATAGAATTACAATTTTAGCTTTTCTTGGAGTGTATTTGTTGAAGCATTTCAAAGACTCACTCATGTCAATTGGACAGAGTTTTAGGTTGAATGTAATCTGATTTTATATGTCATGCCATGATTGTTGGTCTGATTTTGATGGGATCTAGCCCATCTTTCTTGTAGTTTTTCTTTCTCAGTTATTAATAAGATAAAGTTTTCCTTCTAAAAAGAACAAAGAACTAGGCCACAATAAGATTATTTTGAGGACTTACCCGAAGTGGACTTTGAACCGAAAGCCTTTCCAGTACGAAATTCTCAACAAAAGGGTCTAACTGGTGATCTTCACTACTGAATGCTATTTGTTCTTTAGCAGACAACATCAATGATAATTTTGAATTCCATGATTGACCCGAATTGACGCAGGCAACAAAAGAGGCCAGATCAAGCTGATAACATAAAGAATCACAAAGATATTCCACACAAGATACCTGCCAATCAATAACACATACAGTCACATATTTCCTTTGAATAATAACAATGATATCATGCCACAAGAGTATCACAAGGAAGACTTTATGGGCAGTACCTCATCTGATAGATTACTATAAAGAGAAGATTCTTCCAGCCGAAAAACTTGTGATTTACTTCTCCACAGCAGTTGCATTAATTTCCTTCGTGCTGTAGTTTTTCCAGATAATAAATCCCAACCCATGGCGGCTACCAGGGGCTGAAGGCGGGGAAACAATAAAAGAATCTGCACATATATGGACAAGAGAGGCTTGTAACTATACTAGCAATCCAGCATCAAATAATGCAATAACTGATCCCACAGAATAATAAGAATACCATCTTACTCACATATTCAATTTAAACATAAAACTGGGCACATACATTGCTAGTTTCTTGAAGCTGCTCTCTCTTTACAGCAGACAAAGCAGTGTCCATGACACATTCAAGGACATGTAAACCCGAAACACGAGCATAATGATACATGTCTCTCATGCAAAATCCGACTACAGTGTTGAAGGTAGAAGTTTCTGTATCAGGATTCAATTCTGCATGATATCTTTGAAGACGTTCCAGAGGTGGTGGAATCTGGTTGTTATCAAGAGATCTGTACACCTCAATCTCTTTTGAGAGTAAGTCGTCATGAAGAGCCTGCAGGAAGCCCCCCTACCAAGTCAATATTACCCTCCAAGAATGCATGGCTCAAAAGTAATACAAATACATATTGAATGGCACCCAATGAATGATAAAAAATACAAGATGACTGATTGTTAATGTTCAAATACATCTCAACACAGGTTAAATAATTTATTTTATATAAAAAAATCCTGGCGACCATGATATGTATTAAAAAGAAGAAGAAGAAAAACTGCCATTTATTATAACCATTAGCTTCTTACATCAGAATAACCACCTAATAGATTCGAACAATCTACAGACCTTATGAAACTGGCTGAACTAACCTACCTAGTTCAGGCTTAACCAGTTTTCTACATACATATCCATGAATTTATGTGGTTTTGAGATGTGTTTGCTGCAAAACTTCAACAAGGGAAAGCATTCCAACTTCGACCGTGCACACAAAAATAAATTTAAAAAAGGAAAAAAGAAAAGGAGATAACTATCCTTTCCAACTAGGTATTGTAGCTTTCCAAACATCCTCAGCTTAGCTTTAACAAGTTATGGAATGCATCGTGTAAGGACCTAACCAGGATCCTTCAGCAAAATCATCTCATAGAAAATTAATTGCAAGACTACTGGCATATTTTAAGCAATTTGCCGACAAAGACTTGCACCGTGCAAAATCCATTATAAGCAAAATGGCAAACATTACTTGTATCATTTCGACAAGATGTCCACAATTTGATGCAATAGCCGTGCTATAAATCCACAGTAATTTCTCTCGCATGTTACGCCAAGAATCTCCATATCCCTCCTTTCGTGATGACACCATCTTGAGGAGATCTTGCAAAACCATGCTGCAAGGAACATCAAGAGTGAATGGAAAAAAATGTTTAGAAGAAACTAAGCAGTACATCCTAAGGCCACTTTTGGTATTTCAAGGAGAAGATACCCTAATAATAACTACTTCATTTTCCGATATTGCCATTCTCAAAATTCATCCAAGAAGCAGTAACACATATACCTAATCTCACATCTGAACACCACAGACACCACTCCTAAGACGGCCCACAATTCATGAAGCATCTTCAAAGTAACATGTATAAAAGCTTTCTTAAACTGACCAATCCTCCTCATACCTATCTATCGCATTTATGACAAACCAAACAACTAGGCCCGGAAGCTAAAAACATAAAATATGTGTCAATCTTCATATTTGCCTACCAACTGTAGAAGACTATTGAACAGAACCACAAACCTTTAGTCTTGGTATCAATGGTTTCTTCTTTGAAAAGGTTTAGCGCAGGTTTAAATTCTAACTAGTTAATGAAACAATTGTGCAAGATAGAGCGTAAGTGGCACTGAGATAAGTACAAACCATAATCTATAAAAACACTATAAATATTGTACAAATAATAATCCGTTCAAATTTTATAAACATACCTATACTCAGTCTCCTCCACTCCATAATCAAGGTGAAGAAAATGAATACGCGAAACCACTCCATCCACATCACCATCCTTCGTGCACTCTTTCATAGCATCCAAGTGAGCTAACTGAACACTCCTTTGTATCAAACCAAGAACCTTCAAATCCTCCTTGGACATTTCCCCTGCATTTTCATCCCTCCTCAACGTTATTGCTAAACCCGAAGAATCATATCCCTCCCATCCCCTCACTTGGCTCTGTATATTCCAACACAAGGCGTCAAAAACATCACGGTTCTCCCAAACTACGCTCCTCAAACACATCAATTCGCCTTCCTCAATAGGTACAACGCCTGCAGCCTCATTTTCACTCCCACCATCAGTATCAGCAGCACCTACTGCTACGGAGTCTGGCTTCAATCTATTTACGCCCAATTCCAAAATCCTATCCAAAATTCTCACACAGCTATCCAATTCACCACTGGCATCTCTCAAATCCTTGCCAGTATCCTCACTCTTACCCAAAAACTCTGCTCGCTCTTCGAAACTCTCGCTCTCGCCTAATCCTTCTTTCTCCTTCTCTTTCTCTATGCTCTCCAAATCAAAATTCTTCCGCATACTCTCCGAGACGCGGTCGATCAAATTCTGAACTAACAACAAGAACTCGGCGCGCAATCGCAGGGTTTCGGGATCGAAGCTCCATACCGACGAAGCGTTATCGAATTGCAACAGTTCAAGGGTCGATAAGTAAGTGAGCAGAGCTGGTGATGGGCATGATTTTGACCAGAGAATGTTGTCGAAGCGACCCGAGTGAGCGACGATGGTTTGGAGCACGGCAAGAGCGACGTCGGGGTTTCGAGCTCGGAGAGCGACGACAATCGCTCGAAGAGGCTCAAATTGGGCGAGATAGAGATGGTTTGCGGCTAAGCGCGAGAGGATTTCGGTTTCCTTGTCCATTGCAACGCCGAGCCGAGAACCGAGCCCTAGGGTTTTGGATTTCAGTTCATGAGGGTGATTTGGGATTCGGTGTGGTTGTGGCTTGTCGGAGTGTTTGGTTCCCGGAAAGTGGTCGAAAATTGTGGTTTTTGTGGATTGGATGAAGTCGACTGTGGACGTGAAAGAGAAATTTTTTGTATTGAGAGTTGAGAGGGAGTTTTCGGTTAGGGATTGGTGCGTGTGGAAGACGCTAAATCTGTATATGGTTGTTTGGTTCTTGAGAAAGTAGATCCGAGGAATGACGGAAAAGCGACGTCGAGGTAATGTACAGTTTCAATGCACGTCACTGGAACTGACGAAGAACCGTGAAGAATATGCAATGAGGATGACAAACCGCCAGTGCAACAGTCAGACGGCGTCGTCTTGCACATTATGTTACCGTTAGGTGAAAGTGAAACATAAAAGGGTAAATCTCGGAGTGCAGGACGATTAACAGCTCTCTTTTGAAAATAAACTCTGCCGTTTGCTCTATATATAGATAAATAAATATGTGGAGTTTGGTTTTATACCCCTCTCAAATGAAGGGACAGTGTGTTTTGAAATTTTATTCAACATGTAAATACCAAAGATGTGGAGATTAAGATCTTGAGATGGGAAGTGATATTTGTATTTGATTGGTGCACTTTCCCTTTATACTTGCATTTTTATATTTGTCATATAGTTTTGCTAGTGGACCCATAAAATTATACTTGATGAATTAAGCTGTACCTCTCGAGTATATGTAAATTATGAACACTAATAAAAATACATGATAGACACTCATCGACATAGCAAGTCGATGAAACTTTGATGCTTCGGCCATGGCATTGGCAGCTCTCTAGCCTTTATTTCTAGAGAGCTTTCATTCTAACACATTATATATATAGTTTACTAATTTGGAAAATAGGGATTCAATTTCACCTAATTATGATAAAGCCAAAGACAAAAAAGTAGTACCTAATTTTACAATAATGTAATTAAAAAACAACAAAATTACACACAATGTCACTCCATCTAAGTCAAGCACACTATGCCACATGTCCACCTCCGGCAATATCTCTATTGTCACACGACTCTACTGGGGTCTTTAAAAAAAAATTATAAACAGTATAGCAAAATGGCTATACTCACTTTACATAGATACTGTGGTCTTTTTTAGTTAATTGTTTTTCCCTAATTTTTGTTTATCAATAAGAGTAGTTTATAGCATTATCCATTACTATTAAGCCATTACTTAAGTCTCTATTGTCCCCTTTTGAGTTTTTACATTTCTAGAGTTATTACCCATATAAAGATTTTAACATTTTCACGTTTAATACTTGTTTTGTACATGTACATATTTTTCATGTTTAATACTCATATTGTTCATTGACGAACGTATTTTTCAGGTTTAATATAATTATTTTTTAACAAATTTTCAATAATACACACAAAAGCCACGTACTATACACAAATAGTATAGCCGTTCGGCTATGCGTCTTATAATTTTAATACACTTAAAGCGTATAGCCGAGCAGCCATACTCATTATAGAGCGAAACACTTGGCGCAAGGCGGTCCTCTTCTTTGCTATAAATAGTGTAGCCGCGCGGCTATACTGGGTTTTTTTGTTTTTTTTTGAAATAATAAACAGCCGTATAGCCGGTCAGCTATACTACGGTTTTTTTAATTATTAAAAAAATCGTCTAGCCGAACGGCTATACAGTTTTTAACCTGGGAGCGAATTGGTAGGCGCGCGACAGTCTTTTTAATATATAAATAGTATAGCCGGGCGGCTATAATCGGGATTTTTAAAAAAATTAACAAGCATATAGCCGGACGGCCATACGACTTTCTATTATTATTTAAAAATCGTATAGCCGACCGGCTATACTATTTTTGCCACGTGGGAGCGAATCGCTAGGTGCTGGGTGCTGGGCGCTAGACGCTAGGCGGTCCTTTTTAAAAAAAAACATTAATAGTATAGCCGTGCGGCTATACCACTTTTTTTATTATTAAAAATAGTATAGCCGTGCGGCTATACAGGTGGGGTAATCGCTAGGCGCTGAGCGGGTTTTTTCATGTACACAGTATAGCCGTGCGGCTATACGGCTTAACAAAAGTATAGCCGGCCGGCTTTACTGGATGCGCTCTTTTTTAATTTTTTTTGTAATTAGTATAGCCAATCGGCTATACGCTTTACCCTTTTTTTTTTTTTTTTTTTTTACTATCCAGCTTCGTTTTGTTCCACGAGGGCTGCCTTCCTCTCTAATCTTTTTTTGAATTGTTTTTCCCCGATTTTTGTTTATCGATAAGAGTAGTTTCGAATATTATCCATTAGTATTAGTATTAGTATTTATACAATATAGGTACATTATTTACCTATATACACCTATATTTTTATATTTAACTGTCATTTAGGTCGTCTAGCAACTTCACACAATGTTTGTCTGCAACACCAATACACCATAAAGTGATGGGCCAATAATCGGATTCCAATCCAATTACGGATTAACATGCATGCTCAATTTGATTCCTCAAGACCATAAACCAACTCCTTCCGGATCCTCGATCTTATTTAACTGAACCCTGCATTGAGAGAGAAAGATACCGGGTCAACCATGGCAATTATTAGGCCTACTAGATGATGATTCTCAAGCCTCCTTTAAATGTTCAGTGTTGTGTGTTGATAAATTGTAAGGTGAAGAGATATGAAAGATGATGAAAAAAGAAAGATTGGTGACAGTCATGGCAGGCTGTGGGGGTGGGGGGCTCCGTCGGCGAGGAATGGTTGTGGCTGCTTTTTTTCTTCTGTAATTTCTCCACTACGTATATCAATCAATCAAGCCAAGCATGATACGAATAATAAACCGATTTGGTTAATATTGAGTCCTCCAAGTAATTAATTAATGGCGGACTAATATATGACCTGAAAAAGGAAGTCATGATTTCCATGCATGAAAATTTTGAGCAACCAGAAACAAGTAGCATAAAAAGGTTTGACATCATTAACTTGCTTTGCATGCATGTCATGGTTTTTGTCATCAAAAATGACAATTAATTCACCAATGCTCTTCTTAGAGTAATTAAAATTACAAAACTCAACATAAGATCTTCTCAGAAATCATATAAAGTCCTTGTGACAAACCGGCTTAATTAGATCTTCGATCAACCAGAAGATCTTCGTTCGAAGTGCCTTCGTAAAACATTACACCCCGAAAAACAGCATAGTCAATGTCATCACCCCCTGCAATTCCAGAGCAGAAGAGAAACCATGTAAGAAAATCATGTCCAACAAAATCACCAAATTAAACGAACAAAAACAGTTTCCCCATGAAACCCATTTCCAGGAAACTCTGTTCTCTGCCCTGCCTCTACTTTGACGTCTACCTTTTTTATCATAATTCTTCAACACCCATATATCAAATTTGTTAGCTTTGGATATTGAAGAAACATATATAAATTGATAGTAGCAGTATTTTGTAAATGCATGTCAGCAAGAGATGGACAGTGAGTCCAACTGGAACCCCAAATCATGTTACACAAGGTGAACCTAAAATTTGACCAAACGATCAGCTCTATAGCGGACCTGCTCAAATGCAAGGCAATGCAGACAATAGTGGTGAACATAGTCAATTTATTCATCAATTGGCAGATGGTAACGAAGAATCTGTATCTTGAAAAGAAGTTACGCATTCATGTGAAACTTCATCAGTTGAAGAGAGCACCAGCAGAAATGCGTCACTAGGCTACACAAATTTTTAGAGACACAATGCAAACCAAAAATTGATTTCGTTGGCACTTTCGATGTAGACTATTTTGTTGTTGGCAATCTTAGCATGAGTCAATTAAAAAAATCAAGAACAAAGTGGGTATGAAACTGGATCGTCAGGCTACTAGACCGGCCCCTATCTAACAAATCGTTTAATTCATTTTTCATCAAATATTACCGAGAGAAAGAGCAAGAAACGATACCGATGAATATTGCTCATGATCCGCGCCGGCCGTTTTGATGATTTGCTCAAACACATGCTAAGAACCTAACCGGCCTGCAATTCACCACACTCGTGACAAAATTGATATTGCAAATACATCAGCAAGAGCCAGAGAGAGATGATTTACCTCATGCGGCGGATTCCGGACATCTCTTTTGGCTCAACCACCAGTTGTTGGTTGTCTAGCCGAAAGACGACCTGTCCGTAGGCAGCGAAATACTGCGCTGCAAAGATCAACGTGGTGGTACCAGCAGCAAGTATCGCAGTGACATGAACGCTTCTGGGGCCCAAATCAGCCATTCGATCCAAAAATTTCATCCCTCTGATCACTGTGTGATCCCCAATTTGCAGCGTAGCAAATAGTTCGCCTTCCCCATCATCATCTCCCTCGACCTCTCGTATCTCAACAACTACTCCCGTATTGTTTACGAGATCAGTCATTCGAGCAAACAAACACGCCATTAATCAGACAAGCAGATGCCCAAGGGCTCTGGAAGCGGGATCTACAGTATTCTTGGTTTTAGTACTTTTAGCATTGGATCAAAATAAAAAATATAAAAAATAATCTTTCTAGATCCCCAGATGAAGAAAAATTCAACGCCCATCACAACCGCTCACATAGAAAAATTTACGTCACTCCGAAGATGTCAACCGCGGCGGCGAAGACCTTTCAAACTCTTCGGCTTTCTTCAACCACTTCCCTTCTAATTTCTTTAAAATAATGCTCAGTCAAAAGACCCAGTCCCGTTTCACAGTCAAAAAAACTAGATGAATATTTTCAGAAAAGAACATCCTACAAGCTAGGAATTGCAGATCAATCCCACTACGGCAACGATTGCTGTAATGTCATGAATGTATAATGTTATATTTAACTCTCACACCAAATAAATGCATATGGATTTAAACACGCTTCTTCTTACCTCGAAAACAATGGTTACCGGGAAAATCTGGTGTGCTCTGAGCAAGTCCATGTATCCTTTGATTCGAATTCGAAACGTTTGAGCTTCTTGCTGCATGCTTTCTAAGTTACTTGAGTAACGTAGCATGCATTTTTCGTCGTAGAAAAGGGCTGCTCATGAGTTACAGAATGAACAAAGGAACAACAGAAATCTTGGCGAAAGCATAGTCTTGTTTGCACCACGCACTCTGTAATATATAGGGACATTTGTCTCTACGAATGAGCCCTCGTGCTGTGACCACAATTTTGTCGTTTATAATTGTTGATTTATAATGTGTTAGTCAAAAAAATGGAGGGAAATAAACATATAGTACTACTGCTTTGAAGTTTGTGTCTAAAAAATACAACCTCTTTGACATGTTTTCATTCCTTGATCAACCTATATGAACATGGCATTAACAAATGAAATTGCTTGTAAAGACACCATTAATTTCAACCTTCGTTTTCCCTGTTTTGCTTTTGCTTTGGACCAAAAAATCATGCGTTCACTACACACGCAACAACTTGGACATGGTCACACGCGGCTGGCAAACCTCAACTATTTGAAGAAACAAATGGTGGATTTGGAGCTGACTAGCGTTTTTCTTTTGTCTTCCTCACTCCAAGGGTGGCTTTGGACATAAGCAGGCAAGACGGCCGTTTATAGCCTCTAAACGAGGAGGACCCTGAATTTATATAAATTTATAAGCATCCAGGCAAATTATACTTTGTAATATAGTTCATACAACTTGTTCTAACAGGTTCCAACTCAAAAAAACTGTTTCTAAGCAAATTACCTAGTTGAATAAAATCAATAAATAAAAACCAATTTTCAAGTTTCTTCATTCTGCAAAAGCAACTCGCGACAAAAAAACTTATTGGACTTACCATTTTTTTCTCAATGATTCAATGAAGTCTGAAGTCTGAATTATTTAACAGGTATGGTGATGACCATTTCTCTTTTATTAATTTTATGCCATTAAGAAGAGGGGTTTGGAAAAGAAGCAAAATCATCAAGAATAACTTAGGAAGGTTGTGAATCAATATCTTAGGAATAACTTGGGCATGGCTTATCATCATCCACAAAATTAACTTCTTTAAGGATATACTGAAAGAAAAAGAAAAAAACGCACAAACGATAAGGCTCGATGATGAATATCCTTGATAATAGTACGATTATTCCATGATATAGAACATGGACCAGCAATGCAGTATCACCTTTAATCCGGATTTTGTTGTATCCAACCCGCAAAGTATTGAGAAGAACGTCCTTTTTTTGTTGTTGGAGCAGATGCTCTATAAAATAGAAATACTTCAAAAAAGTATAAAGATAGCAAGAAAATCATCAGGATTTTGTTGTATCCAACCCCACAAAGCATTGAGAAGAGCGGCCTTATTCAGCAATTCTCTTATTTGGTCATTTTATAAGTATTTAGCCCTTTTTAATAGTTAGACCAACTAAAATAATAATCCAACCCAAAAAAAAAAAAAAACATAACATAGAAAAAAATAAAATGCCTCATCCTCATCTCCAAGGGAGATGTCAAATATCAAACATTAAATTTGAATTTGATGGTTAATGTGGCAATTTGACATATAAGAGCATCTCCAAGGGGGATTAGGATCTCGAGCCACTGCATTTAACAAGTGTGCATTTACCCGCATTTCATTACATCTCGACCATTGCAATAATTTAACTACTTAAAATATGACAAGTCAAATTCCAAGTTAACGACTAAGTTAACATTGTTAAGTGCTGTGGGATGGGTTTTGGGGTTGGAGTTTATAAGAGGTGGTCATGGGGGAATGATGGGAGAAGAAATCGAGAGAAAGAGATATATATATATATTATTCATATTTAAATCAATTTAAAATTTGAAAATAAAAAAGAAAATGTGGGACACATAGTGACATGTAGGCAACTAACATATAGATCTAATGGAAACCTAACAATGGAACCACATTGTAACAAATTTAAAAGATCGGGGTGTGTTATTGTAAAAATCAAAAAGGTAGAGACTAACATGTCTTAAGGGTATAATCATATAGTACTAAACTGTAATTAACATGTCTTAAGGGTCTTATATTCTAGCAGTATAGCCGTGCGGCGATACTCTATAAACAGAATTGTGATAGTACGGCCGCACGACTATACTCTTTAAATAGAATATTTTAAAAGTTTAGCCCATACTCTATAAATAGAGTATTTTAAACATAGAGTTGCGCAACTATACCCTTTAAATAGCATAATCTTGATTTCTCATTTCATCGAGAGAAGTCTAATTCGACAAATTTCCCAGATAGACCTGTGCTGACGGAATGTCGTTGGGAGCTCGCTTTTTACTTTTAAAAAAAAATTATATAAAATTAGTTTCTTTCCTCTCTTTTTTTGGGCCAATTTCTTTAGTTTAATATATGTAATTAAGTAATATATTAGTCTTTCTTAATTATTTTAATTAGTAATTATTTATTTCGTGTATTTTTAAATATTTTACACATTTTGTAAATTACTTAATAAATAGTAATTAATTATTTTAAATTATTTTGTGGACCTTTTTTTTATACATTTTTTATATATAAAATTAGTTTGGGTAAATCCAAGTCTCGAATAAAAAATCATAGCTTTCAAACTTGTTCCAAAACCTTTCCCGAGGCTCGAACTGTAACCTTAATCCTACTAAGGAGTAGATGCTTTCTGTTCTTTTCCAATGTGGGACTCAAGTTCATATATTTCAATCAAACTCCAACAAGTAGTTGATATTATTAAATCACGTTGTGACTTAGATTTAAGTTTTAAAACTAAAATCCATTTTTGGGATAATAAAATATTTGGGTACCAAAACCAAATTTCTAGGATTTTTATTGAAATATTTAATACTAATTATTCACTAAAGAAATAATAATTAAAACATAATTACTAATGAAAGTATTTAAATAAGGATAAGATATTAGTTAATTAATAAAAAATAAAATTTTAAAAAGGATATTTTAAGGGTATAGCCATTCGGCTATACTTTTCTATAAATAGAATATTGTAGGGGTATAGCCGGTCGGCTTTACTCTATAAATAGAATATTGTAGCTGTATAGCCGGTCGGCTATACTCTATACATAGAATTTTAAAAGTACAGCAAAATATAACCAAATACAACAATAACAGATCCGCAAGATCAATATCTGATCTTGCATTCATAAGATCTGCTAGATATGTGATGGTGAAAGAAATTGAGAGAAAAAAAGAGAGGGAAGAATAGGGAGAAGGAAAAGGGTCACGGCAAAAAAGAGGAGAGAAAGAAAAGAGAAAGATAAGGTGGACTTGGGCTTTTTAGTTGGTGAAATGGGCCAGTGAATTTGGGATAAGGTTTTCTTTTTTGTTTTTTTTTGTTTTGTGTGCGTGTGTGTGTGTGTGTTTTTTTCATTTTAAAGTTATAAATAGCCTGAAACTTGTTGTAGGGCTTTACACATTGGGTATTTGGTATATTTTAAAAAAATATGAAGACAACGGGTCCAGTTTGGCCCAGTTCGATTTTTTAAGTTCAAATAATCGGAATCGGAACCGGACCAAATTGATTTGGTTTGATTTTTGATCAATTCGGTTCATTTTTTAGTCAACTCTATTTTTTCAGTCCCAATTCGGATCAGTTTTTCGGTTTGAATGCCTAGCTCTACTTAAAATCACATAAAGTGATTATATAAATAAGTGATTCTCCATATAAATAATTATTGGTCTATCTATAATCACTCTTAAACAAGCCTTTAATCAACTAAGGTATTTTTAGATATTTTGAATATTTCACCTTCTTTTTTTTCTATACCTTTATATATAAATAAATGAAGAAAATGTTAAATAAGTAAACAAGTTAATGGGTCAGATTTGTGTTTAAAATAATTTCACATGATTACTTTAAAACGCAACACATCATCAAATATGACTTTATATGAAAATACATGCATTCATATCAAATTAAATACTTTACAATCGAAAAATCAAACCAACATTAGTATAATATATTATTGGATTGGTATCTGATCCTCGACTTGACTTTTCTTCTTCACATAGTACCTTATTTTTATTTTATCTAATAAACTAAAAGTATTCTCCCAAAAAATACTCTAGAGCCGTTTTCACTTTAAAGGGAGAAAACCAATGTTCTTCCTCCTTTTTCCCCTTCTTTCTTCCCCCATTCTCCTTTCTTACCCCATTTTCAGAGATAGAAGGTTTCCCTTATTTGTTTTTGTTTTGTTACGATTTTCCTCCACCCATTACAGGCGGTTGCATCTTGACGTCGGATCTTCACTTGCATTTCGGTGTCATATGGTGGTGTCACCATCCTTTTTACGGTTTCTTTATGTTTAGAATAAGTTGCAGAGACTCTTTGGGTTTTATGTGTAGTTTTCATCTCTCATTTTGTGAGAGTTTTCTCCTATTTTGTGAAAATTTTACTTGTATTGTTACGGTTTTGCTTTTTCAAAGTGTTGTCTCTATTTGGTTGTTCTGAGTTTACAATCTTAATTGGGATGCATATGCCAGAGTTTCTTTGATCATGAGTGATCGTTAGTGGAGGTGCACCAGATTGTCTTAATTTTGATGTTGGATTGCTCCGTTGTTGTAATGGTCGTTTATGGCTAGTTTGTATTGACCTTTTGTAGCTAGTGGCTTTTTTGGTTGAATTATGAATGCAATCCCATAATTTATCAACAAACAAAAAACTAAAAGTATGTTCATTTATCAGGAATGGGTATTTGAATGATTACAATTCTTATTTCTCATTTGTTTATTGACACACGGATATTGGAATGATTCAAATTCTTGACTTCCCATATGTTTACTAATATATAAATAATAAAATTTATATGGGTTTCATGTAAAATCCATAATCAAATACTCAAAATTAAAAATGGGATCAACCAGGGGGAATACTTGATCTGATTCCCATACCTTGGTTATCCTACCTAAGTAAACAATGACTAAACGTTAAATTTGACGTATGGCACCATTTGTTCTTACCTCCTTTTGGCTTTCAAAGTTTTTCTAAGCACGCGTCTCCCAAAATCTCATTATTTCTCCCACTTTAATTGTCACGCACAATATAATTCCAAATTAGTACTTTGTAACAAAAGTATAGATATGTAGCATATAAAGCAGTCTCATATTTGAGAATTTATGTGTT